TAGATGGATAAAAGTGGCACCTCCGCATGTCACCTATCACTGTTTTCTCGAGATGCTAATGAAAAGTCCATAATGGAAGTGTTACCATTTAGAATCTAGTAACTTTATAATAAAGTAATGAAAAATGAGCCACCACACGTTATCATGGACTATAAAGCACGTTAATAAAGAAAGAAAACAAACAGAGTCCAACTAGATATACAAGCAAAAAAAAATTGAAATAAAAAATAAAAAAATAAAAGAAAAGTCCATGCAATTTTTTTTTAAAAAAACTAAAATTTTAGCAAACATTAAAATAATCGATATTGTGATAAGAAATGCAATTCAGAAAAATCAGATTCAAAATTAAAAAAAAAAAGTTGAATGTTGAGAGAGTCCATTTAGACAAACAATTTAGTGTGATTATTGGATTAATATTTGAAAAATAGTTTACGTTGACAGAATAGTGCTCGTAGAAATACAATTTTGAAGTATCTAAAATTCAGAAAACAAAAATAAATATTATAGAGAAAAAGTTCATGCATGAGAATAATTTAGAAATATTTTAAATTCAGATTAAAATAAATGATATTAAGATAAATGGTCCACGTAAAAGTATAATTTATAGATATATCAAATTTGAGTCAATATAAATATTAAAGAGAAAAAAATCTTTTAGGGATACAATTTAGAAATATTTTAAATCTTCACTAAAAATAAATAAAGGGATAGGGAAGAGCACATACCTTTTGCTTATGTTAAATGGAGGCTTTTTGAGGAGCCCCATATTAATCCTATAAGGTGAAGATAGCTAAAAAATTCTCATGTTAATTGAAAATTCTTAGAATTCACATGTTAATTGAAGAAAAAGAGAATAGGTTGATCACCCAATCCACATTAAAAAAACAATGAACATATGAGATTGGATCCTCAAACCTATGCTAACATGACAATGGATTTTCTAGAATTTAGATAGTGAGCAAGAACATTGAAATAAAATATAAGAAAACCAGTAATAAAGAAATGTTTGATGACGATCGATATTTCTTATTTGAAACGGGTTATAACTATCGTGGATATATGATACAATAGGTCATCTTTAGTAGGTGAAAGATTGTCATTAGCGATAATAAGAAGATTCTACTAATAGTCTAAGTAAAGATAGAGGGGAGAAGAGAAACAAATATACAAATATATATATATATATATATATATATATATATATATATATATATATATATATATGTATAGCATCATCGAGAAGGATCACGCCAGTGTAAGCAGTCGCCATTGCACATCGCTGTTGGTCCTCAATTGGTGGGAAAAATTACTAAATAGCAAGTAGCTAGATATCCAAGTCAGGAAGCATTACACACACTGCACCTACCGGGTAATTTAATTTCCCTGAATCCGTGTCCTCCATCGTCTACCTCGCTCGCAACAAGTACTACGGTTTCTGAATATAAATAGCAGACGATCGATGCAAAGCCTTGCACAGTATACGTAAGTACCTAGCTTGACCGCCAGTTAGTTAATTAAACTCTATCAGACTCATGGCTGATGCTGCTTGTAATGAAGGCAGCCATTGCCGACTAGTCATCGTCGTCCTCCTGCTCATTCTCCTTCTTCCATTGCAAACATTCTGCCAGCAGAGCACAACTAAAAAGGTAATTATACAGATATGATCATGATAAATTGCGTATACTGTATTATATATGTACTGGCCGTACATATTGTTATCTACTCCGTACCGTAGAAATTCTCATACAGTAGTAAACCAGCGTTCCTGACAACATATAATTTGCAAACTTAACATGCGTGCACCTATATATGCAGCTCTATGTAGTGTACCTCGGTGACAAGCAGCATGAAGATCCAGAACAAACTACAGCTTCGCACCATGACATGCTTACTGCCATCCTTGGAAGGCAAGAACCACCTAGCAAATCAAATTATATATATGCATTAATTTCAGTTACTGTACAAGATATATACACTATATATTCATGTATATCCAATGTATATAAGTATTACTAACTTAATTAGAACTAGAAATAGAGATCTCGTGCATCTGACGGCTTGGCTCCTTTAATTAAATTTGCAGCAAGGAAGAAGCGCACGACTCGATGATATACAGCTACAAGCATGGCTTCTCTGGATTTTCTGCCATGCTTACTGAATCTCAAGCGCAGGAGATTGCAGGTAATTTTTGTCGAAATATGACAAATAGTTTCCATTTAGAACGCCGTAAAAAATATCAGGAGAACCAAGAACAGTCACGTTGTTAATTTCGGAAAATGAACAAGTATCAACCATCATTACCACAGAAAGGGCCTTCGGTGCCGGTTGGAAAACCCCCTTAGGTGCCAGTTTTTCCAACCGGCACAACTAAGGCGGCACTGATGAGAAGACTCAAAGACCTTTGAGGTATACGATTTGCAAAAAAAAAAAAAAAAAAAAAAAAGCCCGGTCGGCTCGATTTGAGCCGAGCCGATGCTTCAAAGCCACCAAAATAAATCAAAAATCTAAAAAAAAAGGACAAGTACACATCACACAATCAAAAGTTCATCAACAAGTTTACATCACTGAATCAAACATCAAACATCATTGAATCATCGAATCAAACATCAACAATAGCAAAGCTGGCAAGTGAAGGAGACGGTTGGGGGTGCTCAACGGTGGCAGAAAAGACAAGGGAGCCCGCCATCGTCGCACATGGGGAGCCCGCCGCCGTCGTTGCCACTGCCTACCCCCCCCCCCTTCCCCCCGATCTAGTGGAGGGGAGGGCTCCGCCGCAGCCGCTGCCTCCCCTCCCGCTGTATCTGGTGGAGGGGAGGTCGCCGCCGCCACCGCCCGTGAGCCAAGCCACTTGCTGCTGCGCCACCGAGCCGTCGCCGACTCCCCTCCCGGCCGGATCTGGTCAAGCGGAGGCGCTGCTGCCTCCCCTCCCGATGGATCTAGCAGAAGGGAGGGCGTCGCCGCCGCCTCCACTCTGGCCGACGAGCCGCCATGGGCTCCCCTCCAGCCGCCGGGCAGCCACAGCCGCTGGGTGATGCGCGGTGGAGAGAGAGGGAGTGAGAGAGAGAGAGCGCGCCCCTCCAGCTCCCCGCCGCCACCTCCCCTCTTGCCGTTGCTGGCTCGCTGCCTCCCCTCCCGCCGGATCTGGCGGAGGGTAGGGCGCGAGATGACGCGAGATCGAACCTTATCTCCTCCTTGCCTTGTCGTGGTGGGGCCCGCCTGTCGGCTCATCCGATTGCCGGCTCGGCTCGATTTCTGTGGGTGTCGGTTTTTAATTAACTAACACCTATACTATATTAAACGTGTCGATTCTTTTTTCAAAAAACCGACACCTATAGAATAGGTGTTGGTTCTTATTTAGAACCGACACTTATAATTGCTTAAAGGTGCCAGGTTTTTAGCGATTTTAACCCGCGAAAATAGGAAAAAGGCCTATAGGTGTTGGTTTTAGCACTTCCGGCACCTATAGTAGCAACACCTGATGTTTTGTAGTAGTGCATGATATTGGTTCTTCCAATCGACAGTATAAGAGCAGGTACAATAGCAGACTATAAGCCAGCTATAAACACATATCGAGAAGATTAAAGAAGAGAGAGATGAGCAATAGGCTACATATATGTAGCCAGCTACAGCACGAACTCCAAGACGCAATGTGGTTATGACATGTGGGACCGGATATTAGTAATGTAGTATATATTTATAGGTAACTATTGTATGAATTAGCTATTAAATCGACTATATATAATTTAGAGCTAATAGTTGGCTATACTATTAAACTAAAACGATGTCACCGGATATATAAGTCGGAAACCGAGATTTCAAAGTAGCCACAGACAATTTCATCATGGATAACCCAATAGATCTTCATAGGTTACCTTGTGAATGGGGTAGCCACCAAATTAAAGATAGAAAAGACTCTAGACAAGTCTAAGACACTATTTGGCACAGCTCTAGATTGTAGATCCACATTAGATTTGAAATTATGTGTTGAATTAAAGTGGTTCAAAATATTAAATTTCATCCAAAATGCACTACTAGGAAAAGGGTTTTTCAAGGCGGCATTCTATTTTTTTCACTGGCGGCTAGATGATAGTGCCGCTTGCATTTTCACCGGCGGTTATGTAATGTGAACCGCTAGCGAAGATATGCCATTTTCTCAAGTGGTCCTCTTAAGTGACAGCTAGCCAGCCATCGGAAATTTTCGCTGACGGCTGTTAAGACCCTGCTTGCGAAAATTAATTTTTACTAGCAGAGGGTTGCCGCTAGCAAAAAAAAATATATCTTATAAGGTCGCGTGTAGTAGATACAAACCCGAGATTATTTTTTCCTCTTCTCTCTCAGCTCTCCCTCTCCTCTCCTCTCCTCTCCTCAACCCCTCCTCTCCTCACCTAGATCTGCCCTCTCCCCAGCGTCAAGCCGTGGTGGTGGCGGACAATCGGAGAAGGGAGTTGGGAAAGGCAGGGTTGGAGAGAGAGGGGAAGGGGGATTGTTTATTATTTCTGCATTCTAGAGTGTTCAATGCAATTTTTGGACTTTTCACACTAATTGAAAAAGAAATAAGAACTAAAAAAACAGGGGATGAAATATAGAATTAAAGCCACTCCTAAAGCCACTTGCACTGTAAAGAACCTATATTTTGAATCTGTAACTTAGAATACGTGTTCTGATGCCTCTCGTATGAGTGTCATACCCTGGGATTGGGAGTGTCCTAACTTTGAGAAAAATTCTAACCATAAAAAATGATTTCATCCCTCGAGGAGATATTCCCTCGTTTCGTGTATGTAACCTAAATGGTTATAAAAAAAATTAAAACAAATCTACAAGATAGATTAATATGGAAATATCACAAAATCTTAAAAGTTTGGAATGTTTCTTCCTCCTACCCATGAGGCCATGACCCATCAATCCATCATCCCTTTCATCTCTCATCTACCTCGCCATGGTCGCACACAAGCCTGCGCCATGCCCTGAGCAGCAGCGCTGCTCCCCCCCCCCCCCCCCCCCCCCCCCGGCTTCACCGCGACCGCTGGGACTGCTGTCCCAGCTCCAAATCCTTGCTAGGTCAGGACCGGATCTGTAGCGAGCGGTCGCGCGGGCATGGTTTCCCCCTTCGTGCCTTGCCTGTGACCGCGGTCCGCCGAATCCCAGCTCTGGCCGTCCATCGGCCACTCGCCTGGACTGGATGGTGCGACGGCGCTCTCCAGGGATCAACGCCCCTCGCGGAACCGCAGATTGTTTGCTTGGTCTGCTACTTGAGTTCTTAGTTCCTTTTCATTTGTTGCGATGCTGGTCCATGCACACCAACTGCTCGATGCATTGCCCAAATAGGACATAGGTAAGGTATTATCCACTGATTGCCGTGCTCTGTTTTCTGTATCCTGTTGCTAGTTTTGGATCCTCTTAACATGTTTGACTGACTCCATAAACAGCCTCAGCATGCCAAAAGTGCTTCTGGACAAATATTATGCATAGTTCAGTAAATTCTTGCAATTATATATGTGTTTAATTATTATATAGGTGGCTTATAGCAGGTGCTATATATCCATCTTATTTGGTGGCTATGAACGTTATGAGAAATAAAAGCTCAGCCTGTAGAGAATAGCATGATCATCCTATCGACATGCTGATTCTTGGCACAGTTTTCAGTCTAATGTTTCATTTCAATGCATGTACAGAGCTTCCTGAGGTACACAGCATAAGACCAAGCATTTTGCATCCGTTGCATACAACTCGTAGCCAGGATTTCCTCGGATTGGACTACACCCAATCAGCTGGTTTACTGCATGATACAAACTATGGAGACAGCGTCATCATTGGAATTATCGATTCAGGTAACTACACTTCCTCATGTTTGATATGTATTCCATCAGGTTCTATACACTAGCTAAATACATTTTAACAGTAACACACTGTTCCTGCCTGGGTACATATCATTATGGAAGTGAATGTCAAATCAAATATGAAATATGTAAGACTGATCCATTTGTAAAGAAAGTACCTGCATTTCAACATATGCATATGGCTGACGCAAAATTATTTCAATTATCCAGTGCTCCCTCTGTGCACTTTTGTAGGGAGCATTTTGATTTGGCATGGTCTAAATATCTAGAAAGAAATTTAACTTAGAAATCTATTAGTATAAGTTTTGTGCACTATAAACTTGTATTATTTGTTATTCGTCAAAACTTATGGTGTTTGAATTAATTAAATACATACTATTGGGTTGCATGCACCGACCATTTCAACCCAAAAGCTTAAGCTGATGAGGAAAAGTGGGCAATTCACTTTATATTCTAACACTCCCCCTAACGCGAGGCCCCCTCAAGCCTCTAACGTGGAATAAGAAGTGGGCAGCAATTTTTATTTAATTGCGTGCTAGCCAAGATTCGAACTCGAGACCTCTGGCTCTTATACCATATTGAATTACATGCACCGACCATTTCAACCCAAAAGCTTAAGCTGATGAGGAAAAGTGAGCAATTCACTTTATATTCCAACACATACATGCCTTGTATAAGTGGATAGATGGAGTATTGATACTTTTATACCACTTTTCACATGTGGTTTATAACACTGGTGAGTCAATTTATATCACTAGAACTTTATTATGTGTATTGTGTTCAAATTTAATTTCATTCTTGATTTTTTTTCCTAAAAGCTACATATTGGTATTGTATTTCAAACATTTTGTTTATAAACAACGATGTGAAATCCAAAAATCCAAAATGGCTGTATTTGTAACTTGAGGAAACTGCTAGGCTGCACATCCAAGGGGGTTAAAATTTTGGCAGATATATAATCACAATGAAGGTTATTCCTGTTATTGTCCCCTATATATGTCAGGTATCTGGCCGGAGTCTCCAAGCTTCAAAGATGATGGTCTAGGTCCTTTGCCTTCCAAGTGGAAGGGCAAATGTCTAGCCGGCCAAGCATTTGGTTCTAACCAATGCAACCGAAAGATAATTGGGGCTCGATGGTATGACAAACATTTGAATCCAGACAATCTTAAAGGTCAGTACAAGTCAGCTAGGGATGCTGATGGACATGGGACACACGTCGCGTCCACAGCGGCTGGTGTTCTGGTGCCAAACGTTAGCTTCCATGGGCTAGCTGTTGGGTATGCCAGAGGTGCTGCACCACGTGCACGTCTTGCAGTTTACAAGGCGTGCTGGGGATCGCCGCCAAGCTGTGATACTGCGGCCGTCTTGCAAGCGTTTGACGATGCCATACATGATGGTGTCGATGTGCTGTCCCTTTCTATTGGTGCACCGGGCCTTGAGTATCCTGCTAGCCTCCAGGCTGTCAAGAATGGCATATCAGTCATCTTTTCTGCAGGGAATGAAGGTCCTGCACCCAGGACTGTTAAGAATGCATCCCCCTGGGCCATGTCGGTAGCATCGGCCACAATAGACCGTGCTTTCCCCACTGTTATCACACTTTCCGACAGCACCAGTAGCTTTGTGGTATGTTGATTTCCTCCTTTCTATTGTTCATTTCAAGTATATAGGTTCTTGGGTGCATGCATGTATAAATGTACACAAGCCGTAACTTCTGGATGCATGATGCCTCACTCACTCCTTAATCGTCCCAGGGTCAATCTTTGTTCTATGATACAGATGATAAGATTGACAACTGGTATGAAGTCTATCAGTCTAGGTATGGCCAAACAATTAACAAGCCATAACACGCCCTATGCTTTGATGTTTTTATATGCTTTCATGGTTGAATTATAATGTTTGTGCATGCAGCTGCCTTTTTGGGACTCCGGAAACGTCAAATGTAACTCTTGCTGTGGGGAAGATTGTGCTTTGCAACAGTCCTAACTCTGTGAGCCTAATTTCACCAACAATTCAACCGGTTTGGAACATTTTGCTTGCTGTAAATGCTTTGAAGGAGGCTGGAGCAAAGGGAATTATTTTTGCCGCATATGCTTTTGATATATTGGACGTTGTTGAAAGTTGTGGCAGCATGCCTTGTGTTTTGGTGGACTTTGAAGTTGCACAACAGATAAAACAATCTGCTGATGAAAACACCGCACTGGTAGTTAAGGTGGCTGCAGCTCAGACTTGGATTGGAGGTGAAGTGCTCGCTCCGAAAATCTCAGCCTTCTCCTCCAGAGGACCTAGCCCACTTTATCCAGAATTCCTCAAGGTGCATGCATACTGAGTTTGATCCATTCCCAGGAGTAGTACATTAATATAAATATAATTTCTCTTTCACCTAATTAATTAACTATGCTATATTGTATTTTTATTACACTATTCTAACTAATATTGTATCTATAACTTCTTTGGAGCGTTTATTAGCGCATAAAAAATCGATGGGCTAGCAACATTGATTTAGCATTTCAACCAAATACAGTTAGGAAGAACTATCATAGTATGTTCTCACCACTGAGCCTGTAAAACAAGTAACTGAAAAACGGAAATTAAGGAAGCGCATAAGTGTCAGGAGGTAAAATAATTGAGAAACTGAAAATATAGTAAGATCTCTTTCAGAGCACATACTCTATACAAGGCCTGAGAAGAGCATACCGATAAGAGCCAGTAAATTCTGTCAAGGTGGTCAGTTTAATCACATATACATATTTTCCCTTTTGTGACTTAGGACTTTATAAGTTCATTCAATTATTTATCCTCTGTTGGCTCTCCTTGCCTCACATAAACTTTCGTGTTCCAATAGCCTGACATTGCGGCGCCAGGATCTAACATCTTGGCAGCAGTCCAAGACTCATACAAGTTCATGTCGGGAACTTCGATGGCATGCCCACATGTGTCAGGTGTAGTTGCATTGCTCAAAGCATTGCATCCGGATTGGTCTCCTGCTATTATCAAATCAGCACTGGTGACTACAGGTGATTTATATTCCTAGAAAATACTTCTCAAGCATATAATATATCACTGATTTATTTTCCTTACCTTCAACATGGTTCTCCAGCCAGCAACGAAAAATATGGTGTCCCAATATTAGCTGATGGGCTTCCCCAAAAGATAGCAGATCCATTTGACTATGGTGGTGGCTTCATTGATCCAAACAGAGCCGTTGATCCTGGCCTAGCATATGATGTTGACCCAAACGACTACACCTTACTCCTTGATTGTATTTCTGCTGCCAACTCAAGCTGTGAGTTTGAACCCATAAATATGAACCTTCCATCAATTGCAATTCCTAATCTAAAAGAACCAACAACTGTGCTGAGAACAGTAACAAATGTTGGCCAAGCTGATGCAGTTTACAAGGCTGTTGTGAAATCACCTCCCGGTATGAAGATATCAGTGGAGCCATCTGTTCTACAATTCAGCCAGAGCAAAAAGAAGCAGAGCTTTAAGGTCATTTTCAGCATGACCCGCAAATTTCAAGGGGGCTACCTATTTGGGAGCCTAGCATGGTATGATGGAGGCACTCACTATGTCAGGATTCCAATTGCGGTTCGACCAATAGTATCCGATAATTATGCAGATCTCTGAAGAAGCATAGAACTACAGAATGTTCATACTTCAAAAGGTTCTGTGGAGCAGGCCTCATCCTATATTATCCCCTCAAAGTTGAGTTTGTCAGCCTCACCAAAACTGTTGTACTACTTTACATGTTTTGTTTTTCTGTCTGTAATTTGTGATTTCACTACACTATATGATACCTCCTATCATATGGACAGAGGTCCGAAAAAATAATGGAATAAACGAGGGATATACCTGTGTGTACTCGTTAACCCCGCTAAAAGAGATGGAGGGCATTGGCTCCTCTCACATTGGTATTTGGTCATGCCTAGGGCAAAATGGTTTGTCAAAAAACGAGTAGCCCTTTTAACTGAGCATTTCAACCGAATAACCGAGAACCAAATAGTACTTATTTTTGTACTTTTTATGTGACTAGAGGTTGTCGTAATGAACATTTGGTGTAAATTGTTGGAAACTACGACAAGCATGATCGACTTCCAAAAGGAAATTTGTGGAAGTTTAATCCTGTTTTGATCAATCTATCTATACATATTAGAGAAAATTATTTTTAACCCATTATTATCATGATGTTCTGTATACTTCGCTCTAATTTATATATATATATATATTAGCTACTTGCATAGGTAAATGTGGATCCTCTATGCCTCCACGTATCATTTTTTTTTCATTTCCATAAAAAAATAGGAAGTTGATAGTCGGGGTGGTTGATATATGGACCCTCCAGCCTCACATATACCTTTTCTTTATTAAATAAAAATAGAGAGTTAGTTGTGGGTAGGGCTGTCAACGAGCCGAGCTCGAATGAGCTCGTCTGCCTAGGCTCGAGCTCGATACAAGCTCGAGCCGAGCCTATAAAATGTTCGAGCTTTCTTACAGGCTTGGTTCGAGATCGATCAAGCTTGAGCTTGACTACCGAGCTTGATTTTTTAGTAAAATAATATATATTTCAAGGATAATCTTTAAAAAATAATTAATTTCTAGTTCATCATATTAATAGAAGAGGAAAAAAAGAATAAAATAAATATATAATGCCAATACAAGCCATACAAATAACATATTTAATCTCCTAATTTATTAAATAACAACAAAAACCATTTATTACTAGGCTCGTTAGAAGCTCGAGCTCGGCTCGACGAAGCTCGCGAGCTTTGGGAGAGGCTCGGGCTCGGCTCGTCTGGAGCTCGAGCCGAGCTTGAATCGAGCCTAGGACGAGTGTGGCAGTAGTTGTGGGAGTGGCAGTAGATTCACCACTCACTAGCACCAGTACTCTCCTTTATTGGACCCCACAGTACTCTCCATTTATAGGAGTATAGATGGGCACCGTTAGATCTATACTTGTTTGCACCGAAAAGGCTAAGGGGCGAGCGATCGCCCCTAGCAACCAGCCGATAACCGCCCCCCTCCCTCTATGTGGTTTCCTTTTTTGGTACCGCATTACTTTACTATTATAGTAAATTTATGCACCTAAAGTTTGTACACCTCAAGTTTACACATCTAAAGTTGAAAGACCCAAAGTTTATAAGTCAAAAGTTTATATATCCGATTCAAATTTGAATTCAAATTCAAATATTTTATACATAGTATTTCTATACATTTAAAGTTTATACACCTAAAGTTTATAGACCCAAAGTTTATAAGTCAAAAATTTACATACCCGTTTCAAATTTGAATTTAAATTTAAATATTAATTTATAGACCCAAAGTTTATAAGTCAAAAGTTTACATACCCATTTCATATTTGAATTTAAATTCAAATATTTTTTATATATAGTATTTCTTTACATAATTTTTTCCAACTCTTTTTTTTAAAAAAAAAATTATGTTGTACTAGGAAGAGAAGAAGGGGAGGAGGAAGCAGGATAGAAGTGTATAGGGGGATGGGGGTGATAGGTGTGGGCGATAACCCGGCCATTAGCCAATAGCCAGGCCATGTTTGCACTTTGCACTTCCCAGATAGTACAATTTTTGGTTCACATTGTACAGAAAAATGCCAATGACAGTACAGACAGGTTCAGTGTCACCCCAGGAGGCGCTTTGAGCACGCGTGACATGAACTTCCAAATTCCAATGCGTCGCTGTGCGTCTTCTGAACGCACACGAGGTCCACGCGCGCAGCAAGGCTGCTCTGCTCCTCTCTCTCTCTCTCTCTCTCCTGTACCAACACAACACATGCCTCTCTTCAGCTGCCCCGTAGCCTTTTCTTCTTGGCTTATTACACCACCGGCATGCTGGGCCGTCTTCAGATCGATGCACTCCTCTGATGCAAAGTATTTTGCTAGCTGCCCCCAAAGACTCCAATTTTTATCGATTACTCATAATAACAGCGGCGGTTTTACCGCCCAATAAATTTGAAATCTTTCAATGAATGGAAAACAAAATTTCCATACGTAACAAACATGTGACATAATAAAATTTACCCAGGCACTGATCCGCCAGTGCACACCAGCACGCATGTACACCACAGTTATCCATTCATGAATACAGAAAGCCAACTATATATATTAAATATTAAATATATGATCTCTCATCTCCCAAAGGACATGTCTGATTTACAGCTAAGGTTTGCATCATCAAAACATTGCCATTTTGATCAGTACTTTGGCAATATTTGGTTTGCTGTAAACACTTGCCAATACAACATTCATGTTGTCAAAATATTAATTGCCAATACAAATGGTAGCAGACCAATTAAAAACATCGCAAATAGAATTGTAAGTGCATCCTCGAAAGCTCGTATATGTAATCGAGAATATCAGAATTTGAGCCTCGGTTAGAGTTATACACGCACTAATCGCAACGACGCCAAAACATATATGGTTCTTGTTTGAGTTTGAGTTTAAAGTTGTGCTTCTACATTTATCCTTCATAGCGTGGTACCTGTCTTTCAGTAGTTTTAGTTGTATCTTCATATATGAATTGTGTCTAAAATTATATTTCTTTTATTATCAAATATTTTTTGGTAAAAATAGATCAATCCCTCTTGATTAGGTTATTTGGTTTTGCCAATAAACATGAGACATGAGGTTGAATGACATGTTTGGTACATGTTTAAGCGTCAATATAGAGAAAATGCCGTTGTCAGTTTATCACATAGGGTACTTTTGTTGTGGGTCTACCGTCTTTTTTGTTCTGCGTAACATGAATTTACACTGTATATTGATGGAATCTTACTGCAGATCGATCAGATTGGTGTAAGAATTCTTGTCTCGTAGCTATCGGGCTCTGCAGTGTCAGCTGAAGAACATTAGTCACGTGGAAATTAATAACAATAATTAAGATAGAGAAAGACTATCCATATGAGTTGCGTCCCCCTCTCTCAAAAAACTAGGTGATTATCTGTGCTTTGGCTGCGGGAATTGATAAGCAATTTTCAATACATATATTTTTTTTATAATCAAGCTAGGAGTAAAAAGAAAAAAAATAATGAAACATCAGGATTTATCAGTCAAATGATGCTCATGCTTTAGTGTGAAACATATTGATAAGTATATGTTAAATATTGTAAAAGTGATAGATTTGTTAAAATATTATGCAAATGATATGAGGGGTGATGATTGGATATGCTTGCATGCATTTTGATTTGTACAATTAAATAAATTGTAAATCATGTTATATGCTTGCATGAGATTAAATATTTAACTATTGCTAGTGGGTGATGATGTGGCATGGTTGCATGTTGAGCTTTAGACTTAGTGGGATTTAACTTTATAGAAAGCATAGATAAGTGAAATTGTTGAATTTTATGGATTAATAGCAAAATTCAACAATAACTATTTTATTAAAATAATGACTTTATGACTTTAGATGGCTATTCACAAAACTATGTTAAGTATTGCATGTGTGCATAATAGGTGGGGCCAAAACTTGTCAAACAAATAAGTTGTAACTTTCTGATAAAATCGTACTCTCTCTGTCCCACAAATAGGTAATCCTAGTATCCCAAAGTAAAATTTAAGGAGAGGATAAGTGACCAAACTACCTCTTATTATTAGTAAATTAGTATTAGTGGGTAGGTTGGTAAGGGGTATTGAAGGAATAAAAATTTTTGATGGGTATTTTGGGACAAAGTTTGAATTCTAGAAATAGAAATAGATTTATTTTGTCAAACAGTAAATACATAATTTGACAAAATAGCTGTAGTTATCTGAAATTTACTCAAATTAATTGAAATGTGTACAAATTTGATGTTTTCCGTGTAAAAATACTTCCTACTGATCCAATACGGATTATAAAATTCACTGCTAGCTGGTAAGATCAGCTAAATATTGGCAAAATGGCTCTGTTTGGATCAGGGATTAAAACTTTAGTCCATGTCACATCGGATGTTTGGACACTAATTAGAAGTATTAAACATAGACTAATGACAAAACCCGTTCCATAACCCTGGACTAATTCGCGTGACGAATCTATTGAGCCTAATTAATCCATGATTAGTCTATGTAATGCTACGGTAAATATGTGCTATTATTGATTAATTAGGCTTAAAAATTTATCTCACGAATTAGCTCTCATTTATACAATTAGTTTTATAAATGGTCTATGTTTAATACTCTAAATTAACGTCCAAACATCCGATGTAATGACTAAAGTCCTTGGATGTGAATACCACCTAAGCTAGTTACTAGCTGGGAGATATATATCGTCCTTGTTCCATGTCTGGAATAATTGCGGCCATGCCAGGTCGGATGCCTCCCATGGCAACCATCGTCTTCCTCCTCTCAGCACTCCTCCTTCCACTGCAAACATCCTACTTTGTGGTCGCCCAACCCAACAATAAAGCATCAAAAAAGGTAATTAGTATCTATCTATTTTAGTTTCGTAGTGCTCAAGTTCCATCTCGTTTTGTACATACACACATCTATATATGCACAAAAAAAATGAAGCTTTGATATCCAATCAAGCTTTGTAATTTTGCTCACTTGCTGTTTAACTAATGATATATGCAGCTCTACATTGCGTACTTAGGGGAAAAGCAGCATGAAGATCCTCAAAAAACAACAGCTGCACACCAAGATATGCTCACCAGAATCCTTGGAAGGCAAGTATTTTGCATCCTTAACCACAGTACTTAATTACAAAATATTGTCAAGCATGAACACAAATCGATCTAGTTAGCTTCTACTTGTAGCTAGCTTTGATCTTAGTCGTCTAATCAGATATAACCAATAATTTGCAGCAAAGAGGCAGCACTTGAGTCGATTATTTACAGCTATAAGCATGCCTTCTCTGGGTTCGCCGCCATGCTCACTGAATCACAGGCACAAACAATTGCAGGTATATATCATACGTTAATTTGTTTTTTTTTTGTTATTAATCAACACAGATTTGATATTCAATGACATATTTATAGTGTCTTGCTGTTCGGGATGTAGTTTTATTTTCAACACAAAATGTGATATTCAATTTTATAAAATCGTCGGGAAACATAAATCCCGTTTCCTTCACAAAGAAAATACATTTCGGGCTTGGATTAATTGGCACAGTCAAAGATAATATATAATTATGGACGTAACTACGAGTACACCCATAAAATACATTCTAATTACGGACATCAGCTAGCAATAGAAAAAACATAATTTGTATGAAAAATTACAACAAACTTAAGCTGTGTTTGTTTCAACTAGGTGGGAACCTTTTCCTCTCACACGAAAAAAAGATAGTTCATTAGCACATGATTAATTAAATATATATTAAAAAACATGAAAGATGAATTAAATATGATTTTTACAGCAAACTTTCAATATAATTCTTTTGAAAAAACACACTATTTAACCAGAAGTAAAAAAAAATTGTAGAAAAGAACATCTTCGAAGCGAAAAGTTTCATGCTCGTGTACAAAAGAACGAAATTATTGCAGATAAGGTATCCGTTACTTTCTCCGGGTTAATATTACTTGACATTTTAAAGAAAAACATAATCTTAAAAAAATAGTTTTGACAACTACTCCCTCTGTTTCATAATGTAAGTCATTGTAGCATTTTTCACATTCACTTGGATGTTAGTGAATCTAGACATATATACATACTTAGATTCACTAACATCTATATCAATATGAGAAATGCTAGAATGACTTACATTATGAAACGGAGGGAGTATCTTTTATTATAATATATATAGAAAAATCAATAAATATGTTATTTTATTGAAGCTATTTTAAACTAAAATCTATAGAGTTGTTTGCATTTTTACAAATCATTTGTAGTTTACGATTTTAAAAAGTTTGAAACTAACTTTATCCAAAACGAAGTATTGTTAATCAGAAGGGAGCATTATTAAATAAATTTAGCAAATACAAAAACTCGTCTTCCCCGCGCTGTTGACACGCATTCGTGTTCATCTCAACCGAGAGTAACCACCAGCGCGCCGCGCCGTGACGCCATCGGACGCCGGGCCACCTTAATTGCTGGCTGCCGGTGTTCGTCTTCCCCCTGCATCTCGTCGCCGTCGATTCCGATAAGCTGACCTGACCACCAGCGGAAGCCACCGCTCGCCGCGGGCGCCGCCTGAGCCGACGTGGTGGACCTGGTGGCAATCTTTTTTCCACCGATGATTGTGCTCAATTAATCCTCTACCCTTTGCACGGTGATCTCCTACTCCTCTTCTTTGCGGCCACCTTTACTTGCTCTTGCCATGGTGGAGATGGTACACCCCAAGTGAATGCACACCAACTGTTCGACGAATTGCGCAGCTAACAAGGCAAACCGTGGATTGGCTAACTTTATCTAATTAAGAAATTTATTATAGATCATGTTGTCTTGCTTTCTGTGAAATATTCATTCATGATGTTGTCTTGCATCCTGTTTGGTTTTAAAAAAACAAATAAACTAGTTTATGGATGAGGAAAGGTAGGATTTTATCACCATGTATATGGTGTCTCTGATTTGATAGCCTGGTAAACATTATAAACAAATATGAATCAATGTTGCTCATGCATCACATGATTTCCAAAGATTCTGTTATATGGAAGCACTTATCATGTTAATGCTTCATTCAAATGTACAGAGCTACCTGAGGTACGCAGCATAAAACCAAGCAGAGTGCACCCATTACATACAACTCATAGCCAGGATTTCCTTGGATTAGACTACACCAAGCCAACTGGTCTACTCCATGATGCAAAGTACGGAGACGGCATCATCATTGGAATAATCGACACAGGTAACTCCTTTTTTTCTCACATTTAATTTGGTGTCTATTTCATGATTTTATACTCAGTACCTCGAGTAATCTAATCTCATGTTTGCACTATGCGTGATAGGGTCCTGAAAATGAATATCAAATCAAATAAGCAGTGCTGGTCCATTTGCAAACAGAATGCATGCATTTCCATGTCAAGTTTAAATATAACCTCACACATTGGCTAATTATTGCTCCTGTGTTCCAAAGACGCTTGAAAAACTGTTCTGCTAAAGCCACTTGATGATGTACCTCTGTGAAAATGAAATTTGCTTTTACATACACTAGGGAAATGGAAAGTGTGTGCTGAACATGGTGCTAGTGATCAAACCTTCTGCGCTTTATGGTTCAAAGTTGAGAGTACTCTAAATAGAACCAAAATGGTGAATAAATATGAGCACTGATTCCTACTGTACTATGCCAGGTATCTGGCCTGAGTCTGCAAGCTTTAGTGACCATGGCCTAAGCCCTATTCCTTCCAAATGGAAAGGCCAATGTCAAGCTGGCGAAGCCTTCAGGTCAAACCAGTGCAACCGGAAGATTATTGGGGCTCGATGGTATGACAAACATTTGAGCGCAGAGGATCTGAAAGGAGAATATAGGTCGGCCAGGGACGCGCATGGCCATGGGACACATGTGGCATCCACTGCAGCTGGTGCCCTGGTACCAAACATTAGCTTCCATGGGCTAGCTGCTGGTTATGCCAGGGGCGTCGCACCCCACGCACGGCTTGCAGTCTACAAGGCGTGCTGGGGACTGGGGGCAAGCTGTCATGATGCGGGCATCATCAAAGCGTTTGACGATGCCATACATGATGGCGTCGATGTGCTATCCCTTTCTATTGGTAAGAGCGGTGATGAGTTCTTTAGCAGCTTCCACGCTGTGAAGAATGGCATTACTGTCATTTTCGCGGCAGGGAACGAGGGCCCTGCTCCTCGGACTGTTACAAATGCATTACCCTGGGTTATAACGGTTGCATCAGCCACGATAGACCGTGTTTTCCCTACTGTTATCACACTTGCCAATGGCAGCAGCAGCATTGTGGTACACGCTAAGTTCCACCTCTCTATTTGTTCTTTTTAGTTAGCTTGCCTTAAATAGTTAAATGCTGAACTATGACTCGCTGACTCGTTGTTCACATCAACCGTAGGGTCAGTCCTTGTTCTATCAGCCAAAGGATAACAACAACTGGTATGAGATTCATCACTCCAGGTATGATGGGCACATAATTTCTTCTTATTAATGAATTAACAATTCGTCGTGCTACACTAATTCCTCAAAATGTCTGCATATTATGGTCGCAGCTGTCTAATTAAGGATGGGGAGAAAATTAATGCATCCCTTGCTTCTGGGAAGATCGTGTTTTGCTACAGTCCTCTTTCTGTGAGCATAACTTCACCATTTGGCTATGTGTCCCACGCTGTGAAAGCTGCCAAGGAGGCTGGAGCGAAGGGGATCATTATTGCCACATATGGTCTTGATATTCTTGACTACTTTGAAAAGTGTGGTGCCATGCCGTGCATTTTCGTGGACTTCGATGCTGTAGGACAAATAAATTCATCTGGTGATGAAAACACTACACCTTTAGTTAAGATTGCTCCAGCGCGTACTTGGGTTGGAGGTGAAGTTCTTGCCCCAAAAATCTCAACATTCTCCTCCAGAGGACCCAGCCCACTTTTACCACAATTCCTCAAGGTACATCTTAGCTTGATCCATTACCAGGAGCTATTAATATGGAGATGATCTCTCTTTGACCTAACTCTTCTAACTGATAGTTGATCTATAGCTTGTTTTGGGGTTTAGTGCATAAATAGTCCATGACCTAGCAACAGTATAGTTATAACCTTTTTCTCCAGGACTACTTGGACAAAATATTAAGGAAGCACTTATCAAGGTCTGCACTGTCCACTGAGACTGTAAAATATAAGGAACTAAAAAAGGGTGATTTAATGATGAACATATGTTAGCATGAATAGGTAAAATATAAAAGATTGAATATGTAAGATCCTTTCTCAAAGCATATACGTACTCGGTCTGAGAAAACATACTCAACCTGTGAACCATCAAATAGATAGCTTCATCACAAATAGCTTAATCATTTATTTGTATCTTGTTGGAGATATCATTTACCTCACCTATACTTCTGCATTTAAACAGCCTGATGTTGCGGCGCCTGGATCTAATATCTTGGCCGCTGTGAAAGATTCGTACAAGTTCCAGTCAGGCACTTCAATGGCATGCCCACATGTGTCAGGTGTAGCCGCATTACTCAAAGCATTGCATCCAGATTGGTCTCCTGCTATTATTAAATCAGCACTAGTGACTACAGGTGATACTACTTATCTATATCTTATCCCCGGCAAAATGCTTCTTCCAAAGTTCCAATATCTAAATACATCACAGATCAACTTATTTCTCTATATTTTGAACATGTCCCAGCAAGCAATGACAGATATGGTCTTCCAATATTGGCTAATGGGCTACCGCAAAAGATAGCTGATCCGTTTGACTATGGTGGCGGCTTTATTGATCCAAATAAAGCTACTGATCCTGGACTAGCATATGATGTTGACCCAAAAGACTATGACTTAGTCGTTAATTGTGAATCTGCCAACTCAAGCTGTGAATCTATATTTCAAAATCTGAACCTTCCATCAATTGCGATCCCGAATCTGACAATGCCAACAACGGTGCTGAGAACAGTGACAAATGTAGGCCAAGATGATGCCATTTATAAGGCTGTTGTCCAATGCCCTCCTGGTGTGCGGATATCGGTGGAGCCATCTGTTTTACAATTCAAGCAAGGAAAGAAGAAGCAGAGCTTCAAGGTCACCTTTAGCATGACACACAAGGTTCAGGGAAGCTACCTGTTTGGAAGCCTAGCATGGTGTGATGGTGCCGCTCACTATGTCAGGATCCCAATTGCCGTTCGACCAGTTATATCTGAGAATTATGCAGATCTCTGATGAAGCATAGGACTACAAGATTTTCAGAGATTCGATCAGCTGAGAATGGCTTATCCTATTTTAGACCCCTCCTCATAGTTGAATTTGTCGGCCTTGCTGAAACTGCTCCAGTGTTGAAATGCATGTTTAATTTTGTATGTAACTCTGTGATATCTCTATGGATATTGGTGTGAACTAGTAATGAATAAGTGAGGGGTTGTTTAGATGGAAGGTTATATCTGTTGCAATCTCCTTTCTGTTTTTGCCAATATTTGACACAATTCTGAGTTTTTTTCTCATATTCTTTCCACTGTATTTAGCATCTACCATTTGTTTTTGCCGTGTTTATCTGCAGTCTGCACGATGTGTGGATTCAGCTGAGGAATACTTACACTTGCAACCTATAGCACCTTGTACCGTTTTAATAAAGCTAGTAGTTGAGTGAGTATGTGCGAGAACACCGTTTTGAAAGAGTTGCAACCTATGGCACAATGCTGCTTGAGTTTCCCAATAAGCTACAAGTGATTTTACGGTTTTCGATGGACACCATATCTCAACAACCATAAAGTCTCTCATTTATTTTGGCACGGAGGGAGCACGCTGTCGCTCCTTCATTTTGTCTTACCAATGACTGCATAAAATAATTTGGCCGTGCAGTGCTCTTTAATTTATTTTTATTGTACAGATAAAAAGTTTATTAATTCTTCCATCTATATTTATTGTGCAGTTAGGATAGGAGGAAAAAAGTGAACTTAATTTATACTACCTTCAAGCCTATAAATACCACATTAATTTAAACAATGTTATTTCTTTTATTATAGTGGATCCAAATTATAATTGTGCAAATCAGACAATTTTTATTTGGAGGAATTGGATTGGTCGATATAGTTATATATTATAATTGGCATTTATAGCGGCAGTGGCTAGGGCAAAGACGATGGGCAGATCTGGCACCAGCAAATGGGGCAACAATGATGATGGCTCCTCCGCTGCTCCCTCTCCTTCTCTCTTACCCTCTCCTCCGCTCCTCATCCTCTTTCTTTCTCTCACTTTGCAAGCCAGTTCACTACGGTGACAACGATGGCGGTCCAGCGGCACGTGAGGAGGTAAGCAAAGGAGGCGGGTGGTCCAGCGGCACGCAAGGAGGCCGGCGGATGAGGTGTGCATCAACGGTGGCAATGGCATGCGTCGACAGCGGTAGCGGCCTTCTTCCTAGCGGATCTAGTATTGGCAGACTCAGGAGGCGCGGTCCACCGCCACCGGCCTCCCTTGCAGATCCAGCGACAACAACGACGGTGGCAAACTGCCCAGCAGCGGATCCAGTGGCCCCAGCCTCGGGAGGAGCGGATCCGCCACCGCTAGCCTCGTGTGCGGCGGGGTCTTGACAACTATGACGGTGGCGGCAAACTGTGACAATGGCGGTGTTAGACTGCGACGATGAGCATCGACGACGACGAGAGCGGCTAGGGTTTCAACTTCTTGAATTTGTTTTGCGATATTCGTTTTTTAGGCAGGCGGTATAATAGACCGCATAAGAAAAACAACTTTTGCACACGGTTGTGCCGCCTGCGTGGAAAAATGTTTCAATCGTATGTGAAAATGAGTTTTGACCGTATAAAAAGATCATTTAAATCTAAAGTGCCAGATGATTACTCATAGTAGGTAGAGTAAAAAATTTGTTCAGAGTCTTGAGCGGTACAAGTCAAGAAGTCATGGTCGAGATGTTAATTTTATTACCTTGAAATTTCTTAGTTACACACGCGGTAGGTTTGTTCTGACAGATCAAATGTCTCCTGGAAATTCGTGGTTGCTAATTAAGCATGCGTTCACAATAAGGCACAAGCGGGTGTAACATTCAATTCTGGCCATATATGACTGTTTAGTTCTACCGTTTAACCTGTCAAATTGCGTACTTTTCTGTGATCCCATTGCTAATCGTACGCGCCATTCAGATTTCAGCATATGGACAAATACCTAGTTCAAGTAGTATACATAATTATCATGCACATTTCTTATTATCTTTTTTCATTATATAGGCCCCAAATGGAACATATAAGATTTTAACAAAATCGTTAGGTCATTTTGAACAGTTCCCGGTAAAAATTGTCTAATAAGTTTTGTCAAAATTACGTAGAAAAGGTACATATGAGATTTAATTTGTTGCGAATATATAGTCAGACCATGTGTATTTTTTTCCGGGAAAAACCATGTGTATTTTTAATTATATCTTATGATATATTCTCTAAAATGAGGCTGATCATTCTCGAATAGAGGTTATTTTGGTTTCATCTATAAACAAGACGTTCTTGAGTGACATGTTATGTACACATATATTCCTTTCAACTGTGGTGCAATTAATTATCACGCTTTTTACGAAGTGAGCATAGCTCAACTGGTTAGGTTTCTTACGGCGGAATCAGCCCACCTAAATTCAAGTCCTAGACATGACACGAATCATCACCAAATGTTGATAAAAATTACCAAATCTCTTATCCATCTTCATGTAGAGAGGGCCACCCTCTGACGGATGCAGTACATGGTCTGTCCGTCGACCGGTCAATGGCTGTGACGAAGGTCTCGGAGATGAGGAGACGATGGCGGTGGTGATTCCGCCCCATCCATCCCGCGTCGACGTAGAAAATATATTTGTTGATTTCTCTTTATATATTATAATAGAAAATATTGGTCACGGTTATTTATAAGATATATACAAAACGATAATTATTTTTAATGACGAGGGAGTAGCTAGGTGGATATGTATAAAACAACTAGTCAAAGAGAGACAACGACGAGCGCCCCATTCTATACGTTTAGGGTCTGTTTAGTTCACGTTTAGTTCACGTTAAAATTGAAAGTTTGATTGAAATTGGAACGATGTGATGGAAAAGTTGGAAGTTTGTGTGTAGGAAAGTTCTGATGTGATGGAAAAGTTAAAAGTTTGAAGAAAAAGTTTGAAACTAAACAAGGGCTTAATTGCGTTATGTCGACAAAACTCGTTGACTTGCTAATAGACTTTGACGATGGACTAATTTATTAGGCTTGGAAGATGGAATGGCCACAATGCCACATACGGTAGTACTAGTAAGCAAGGCAGCAAGGAATTGATCGAAGATCTCGACAGTCAGATTGCTTTTAGGGGAATATGCAAAAAGGATTGCTCGACAGTCTCAGACCACCATGGGACCTGTGCTGCTGTGCCTAGCCATCGCCGCCGCCACCGCCGTGTGCGCAGCATCATCAGGAGCACCACCATCTCCCGATGCGGCGGCCGTCGCCGTTGGTAGCTGCCCCACGTACTCCGGATCAGGTTACTCTTCTGCATCTGACGGCGGCAACCAAGGTATATATAGACAAAGTTTTATACATACTTGAAATGATTAGATTCTGAAATCGTTGGTTGCTGTCTTGTGGATAGAAAGCAAATAAATATACTTAGGAGAAGTTCAATTTTTTTCAGATCATTATTTACGAACATATTTAACAGGGGAAATATCATGTGAAGATAAGAGTGTTTGAAAACTCGTGAAAATCATACTTAAATGTTTTCTAAATTCAAGAAAACATTACAAGAGATAGACATAAATATTAAATACACTTACCAAATCTAAAGTCCAAACTCAACTTTATTTGAGAGTAAAAAAAAACAAATTTCTGGTGAATAGTATCTTGTTCCTATTCATCCGAAAGTTGAGATTTGGTAAGAATGTATTTTATATCTACACCTATCTCTAGTAATTTTTTCATGTATTTACAAAACTTTTAGGTATGATTTTTACGAGTTTTCGATACTTAGCTCGTTGTCACCTGATATATATGTCCTCGATTTCAAATGCCATGTATGTTCAAAGTTTGGAGTTTTAGTAGTAGTGTTTTTGTTTCTTTTATTACATTACCAATTGTATATGTTGTTTCAAATAAGAAAACATACTTCAGTTCCAAACTTTAGAACAGTATGTGGCATCAAATAGACTTTCAATACTAACAAAATATCCATTTACGACGTGCGCCTTTACATGGGTGGACCTCAAGCCCTCAATCCCCATACATTCGTATGTATAGGCGAATATTTTGAACTAAAATCTGCCTATCCACTTGGATGAGCAGGGATTTTGACTAATAAGGCCTATATCAAGTACCATTAAATAATAATATAATACATAATATAAAGTTTAGGGAAATTAGTGCATCATGAAAATATATCTATTCAACAATGCAAACCAGAAAGTCTCTTGCCACATCTATGTAAAAAAATGAGCAGGGGAACCAGATAATATACATATTGGGGATCTGGAGTTAAGTTTTACTGTATCTTTCATACCGTCCATATATATATATACAACGTTCTAATGTAATTCTCTTTTATGAAAAATGTTCTAATGTAATTGATATATACTAAAATTGTTCATTGACATCTATAGTTCCATTTTGTACGACTGTAAAACCTTTTGTTTTACTTGTTCTAAAAGAAATCTTTCTTGTACCTTTTGGAACCAAGTTGTTTATCATATTTTCTTCAGCCAGGTTAATTGAAAGTCTGAATTGCTTATTAACCTTATTTAGCTATTCTTTTGCAATTTTCTATCATACATATGTCTAACATCACTTTTTATTGTTAATATTTCTTAACAGAAGAGTATGATCCCAATAAAGAAAATCCGTGTAAACGGTCATGTGGCTCTATGTCCATTCCTTTCCCATTCGCTCTTCTATCCGCATGCTCTGGCAGTAAAAGATTTCTCCTAAACTGTACATCAAATAAAACACTTATCGGAATTCCGCCAGCGCAATATCAGGTGATAAATATATCATTAGACGATGGTGTCCTATTTGTGAACAAGCCCTCAAACCTTGGAGATATCATCACAACGCCAACGGTGGCAAACGAGTTACATGACTTCGACTTCTCTGGGAGCCAAGGCATTTGGAGATGGGCTGTCGCCAATCAAACATGTCACACAGCGAGAACTGATCAGCTATCGTACGCTTGCGTGAGCAACAACAGTTTGTGTGTTCATAGATCTACTGGCTACCATTGCAAGTGCTCTTTGGGCTACGGAGGAAATGCCTATATCGAAGATGGCTGTGAGGGTATGCTGTCTCTGATAAGCTTGATCGCTATCGTATTTACTATCTGACTGTTTTAAGGTACACCAAATTGTTTTACTCTTGCCTCATAGGTGGTAAGATGACATATATTAACATTTGAAGCGTACTAATATCAGTTATTGCATTCCAATTATGAAAGAAACATTGTTTTCTTATTTTATTAATGTGTAGAAATTTGAATTATATGTAATATATAGACCAGTAAATTCTAAATTTTAAATAAAATTTCAATATCCATGTTGTAATTTTAAAATGAATTTCAAATTTATACCCTAAAATGGCTCTTTACTATTTCATCACTCCTCGGTTGTACAGATAGCAGAGGTTCATTATGACAAAAAAAAACTGTTTTTTATACTAAATCAACTAAGCAAACAAATTTTGTAGAAAAAACAAAAAGTAATTAAGAGAACCAGCATGTTATACTATCTACTTCAACTGATCACGTTTGATTACGTATGTACTCTGCAGATATTGATGAGTGTAGTCTACCCAACTTTTGTAATGGAAATTGCCAGAACTTCCTAGGGAGCTACAGGTGCTCACATTGCCCTCGTGGTTCAATTTTTGATCCTGCTAAACGTGTATGCATATATGGACATGGCCTTCATCCAGCTGGTATGTGATACCTCTCTTTTATTGACAAAATAAGTTTGCCATGAAAAGTAGTGAAATGTAACTCCAAGTATATTCATCTGTGTTACAGGTCTTCTAATTGGACTTAGCTGTGGTATTGGAGTCCTTTTTCTTGTAGTAGGTCTAATTTTATTTGTTCGAAGGTGGAGGAGACATATGCAAAGAAAAATTAGAAGGGAATACTTCCAAAAAAACAAAGGCCTCCTACTTGAACAATTGATGTCGTCTGATGAAAATGTAGCACATGATCCAAAAATATTTTCCTTGGAAGAGCTAGAGAAGGCAACAGACAACTTTCATTCAACACGTATTCTTGGCTGTGGAGGCCATGGCACTGTATACAAGGGAATTTTGTTAGATCAACGCGTGGTTGCTATTAAGAAATCCAGAATTGTGGAGCAGAACGAAATTGATCAATTTATCAATGAGGTTGCCATCTTGTCTCAAATTGTTCATCGGAATGTGGTAAAACTTTTTGGTTGTTGCCTTGTATCAAAGGTACCTTTACTTGTGTATGAGTTCATCTCCAATGGTACATTATATGATCTTCTTCATGGTGAACAGAGTACAACATTCTCATTAACGTGGGAAGATTCTATCAGAATTTCACTTGAGGTTGCAAGTGCTCTTTCTTACCTCCACTCTGCTGCATCAATACCCATATTCCATAGAGATGTGAAATCAGCCAATATACTCTTAAACGACAATTACACTTCGAAGGTTTCAGACTTTGGCGCGTCAAGATCCATCTCCATTGACGAAACTCGTGTGGTGACAATTGTACAAGGGACATTTGGGTATTTGGATCCTGAATACTTCCATACATGCCAACTAACTGAGAAAAGTGATGTTTACAGCTTTGGTGTTATACTTGTTGAGATCCTAACAAGGAAGAAGCCTATCATAGTAAATTGTTTCGGTGAAAACCAAAACCTAGGTCATTGCTTTCTTCAAACACTACAACATGGAACAATCATGGAAATAGTGGATCCCCAAATTGCTAAGGAAGCAAATGAAAGTGAAATAAACGAAATGGCATCGCTTGCAGAAATATGTTTACGAATCAGAGGAGAAGAAAGGCCTAAAATGAAAGAGGTGGAGTTAAGGCTGCAGCTCCTAAGAGCTATGATAACTGAGAGAAGCCGTCAGGAGTTACTAAGGAACAATGGAATTGGGCCATCAGTACAATCCAATTCCAGCACTACATCTGTGACCAGGAGTGTTGTGCTTCGTGCAGGTATTGGCATATCCACTGATCAGGATGCAACTCGTTGCTATACCATGGAGCAAGAGCTCGTTTCTTGGACAGATCTACCGCGCTAAACTGTACTACTCTATCTTTTATGAGACATCACAAACTATTCTCTGCCGTCTTTTTCTGGACTGTTTCCTTTTAGCGTGTGAAAAAAAAACAGATTAACTTTTTGAATGTTTGTTGGTTTAGTGAAAGATCTTCTTCACTTCCTCCCTCTAGAGTGGGCCGAGTTAGTAACTTGAGAGTCTGTTTGGCCGCAAGTTTGGTATAATAATATGACAATTATGCAGATATCTGATGACGCATATGACTACAAGTATTCAGAGGTTCTGTGGGGCATGCTTCGCCCAAAACTATTTTACTGTTTTACTATACGATTTTGTTTGATTGTTTGCAATTAATTTGTGATATCATCATTCTCTGTCTGTTATACCTTGTATTGTAAGGAAATGTGTTGGAAAAAATAATGGAATTCAGGGGGCTTCTTTTCTTTTTCTCAAGTTGCTGATCGAGCAAGCTGCATTTTCTGGAGTTGTAGCCAAAGTAATTCTTGCAACCGGTGAAAATTGATTCATTCATAGTGGTTGGAGATCGATCAAGCTGCCGGACTGTAACACCCTGAAAATTTGACCAATAAGAGCAACACTCTAAAAATACGGACCTTCGAAAACTTTTAAATTAATTGCATCATGTCGAACTTATTCGCCTATTTTATTTGGATTTGATTTCGAAGTTCATTAATCGTGAGTAAAGAATAGTTAATTAGGAATAAACCCTAGAAGCAAATTGGTAAAATAAATATAATTTAAAATAAAGATTAGGTGTGGATAGAAATAAATAAAATATTATCACGATCATATTCGTATCAATTAAATTTAAATGCGATGGAATAAGAATTAACCCTAATTAAAAATTCAAATAAATTATACAAATAAAATATGAGTAATATTAGTCTAGGGTGAATTCATTAGTTGAGATAACACAAATATTGAGTAAACTTCATTTATGCAAGATTTAGAAATTATAGAATCAAATTTATATAGGAAATAAACTAAAATCGGGATAAATAAGAAAATACACTGTTCATTATGCGTAGGTGTTCGATGCGGCCCCTAGCCTTCCCCCTCCTCTCCCACCTCTGCCCCTAGCCGCCCCGAGCCTGCGCCGACGCGCCATCGCCGCCTGCTGCCACGCGCCGTCGCCCCGCGCCGCGCGCCACCGCTGTCGCCGTCGCCGCCTTGAGCCCCGCGCGCCATCGTCGTCACCGTCGCGTCGTCGCCTCGCGCCCCGCGCCCCTGCCTCGCCGCGCGCCCGTCCCATCTCCCCTGCCGCGCGCGCCTCGTGCCCCGAGCTGCCGCACGCCGTCACTTCGCCGCTGCCGCGCCGTGCCGCCATCCCGTCACCCCGTGCGCCCACGCGCCCCGTCACCGCCCGTCGCGTCACCCGCCCGTTGCGTCGCCACCCCGAGCCGCGCGCCGTCGCGTCGCCCGTTCCGTCGCCGCGCACCCGTCTCCTCACCGCCTCGCGCCCCGCGCCGCTGTCGTTTCACCCCTCCCCCTCCTTCTCTCCTTTTTCCCCCACTCTCCCCTATAAAAACCCCGGCCCCTTCCCCTTCTCCACCCCACTCCATTCCCTCCTCCTCTCCCTCTCCCCTTCTCCACGCACCGCCGCCGTCGTGCCGCCGCGCCGCCGCCCTCGTGCTGTCGTGCCGCCGCTTTCGTGCCTCCGCGCCGCCGCCCCAGTGTGCCGCGCCGTGCGCTGTCGTCGCCGCCGCCGTCGTCGAGCCGCTGCCCCCCCCCCTGTTTGTCGCCGTGCCGCCGGGTAGAGAGAGAGCCGAGAGAGAGAGAGATAAAGGGAGAAGCCGAGGGAGAGAAAGAAGAAAGAAAGAAGGAGAGAAACCGGGAGGGAGAGAAAGAGAAGGAAAAAGAAAAGAAAAGAGAGAAAGAGAAGGAAAAAGAAAAGAAAAGACAGAAAGAGAAGGAAAAAGAAAAGAAAAGAGAGAAAAGAGGAGAGAAAAAGAAAAGAAAAAAATAAATAGAAATTAGAGGGAGATTAGGGAAGTTTAGAAAATTTAAAATAATTAGAATTTAATTATAGATTAATTATAGTCGTAGAATTGCAAAATTTAATATAAATTATGGATTATTCTTGGTAATTTCTATAAGAAATCGATTCGCGGTAGTAATTTAGATGTAATTAATAACTAAACAAATAGATGAATTCTTATATATTATTATAGATTATTTTTGGGTAATCTCTATAAGTAATCGATTCACGGTAGAAATTCGGATTTAATTACTAGGGATTTTAGCCGTGTATTATATTTAATCATTTAGTCATAGACTAAATTAAATCGTATAATATTTCTAGGATTTCGTCCGATATTTAGCTCGCGATAGAAATTTCTAACCTATTATATGGATATAATGCTCGGTAGATTAAATTAAAAACTTATGACAACAAAATATTTATACCCGCAAAATAGTTTAAATCGAAATTGGGTTTGCCATAGTTCGCGAATAGTAAAGTTAATATAAAGGAATCGACTTTCGCATTCGACTTTCATTTGGATTTATTTGGACTTTTATTTGAATTCTAACCGAATTCAAATCAATTTTCGCACGTAACTATAGAGCCCGAGGGAGTTGCGGATCCAAGTGAAGGCCAAGACCCGCAAGACTTTGAGCAAGGCAAGTCATTACTATTCCTTGAACATGTTGATCCCATTTGCAAAATTATTTTGTTTACAAATAAAATTGCATGCAATGATGAACATCCTACTTGTGATTACGCCATGCCTTGATTATTGTTTACCCTTAAATCCTTGTAACCATGATTTACGTATAAGTCCCTAGTCAACTATGACAAATGCTTAGAAATGCTACTCTAGATTTATGCATACTCATATTTATCAAATGCTATACGCTTGGGCAATTACCTTTGGGAAGGTAATTGAGATGCGGCATGTGGAGACATGAGCGCCACATTGCCATGATGTTGATGACATGATTTGTGAAAGGAGAAATAAAATTAAACAACTGTTTTCGACTGGGGCGGACGGAGGATTTGGGTGGTATCCGGAAAAGGCTAGTACCGTCCCTGGTCAATTAAGGACCGAGCCATGAAGTTAAGCATGAAACGACCCCCGTACAACCGCACTTCTCCTATGGGTATAGACCTAGCGGAATAGATAGCTGAGCGGAGGTAGTATCCATGCATAGTGGTTTCTTGATGTGTGAGGCAGGGGCTCTATGGTGGGGCAGCCATTGGTAGAACCGCGAGGCGGGTGTCTATAGTGGTGTCGCCATCGGTAGGACTGCCATGAGAGAATTTAAACATAATTATAATTTAATGCACGTGGGAGTCTTTCCTTCCCGGGTGCGCCAGAACTCCTCTCACTGCTAGAAACCGTGTACGCCTAGAGTGCATGAGGATGTAAAGTTCATGGAGCGGGTACTGCCAATGCGAGGTTATCGAAAAGCTTTGCCGTGACGCGTCTCATGTGTTGGGACGAGCCTCATATGTTGGGCAGTCACGGAGTGCGGGTAAAGTGTACATCCACTGCAGTGTGAGTAAACCAAATCTATTCGAATAGCCGTGCTCACGGTTATTGAGCACCGGGACATGTATTACACTTGGCTAGACTCTAAATTCTTAACTTGTGTGGGATGGGATGTTGCATGATGATTTCTATGCTGATGGAGCCACTTCCTGAGAGGAGGGAAGGTGGACGTCCTCAGAAAACCATGACGATTCAATGGCGGGAAGCTATCCTTGGGATCACAATGGATGGTGGACAGAACCGTCATTGTTTAATATGAACACTGGTACTAAAATTTGATCAGTCTGTGCTAGGTCTTAGGTTTGTGAAAAGAATTACAAAACTTGCTTTGCGCAAAAGAACCATAGCCATCTTTTGAATACCCCTGTCATATGCATTGTTGTTGTGGTGGCTTGCTGAGTACGGTTGGTTCTCACCCTTGCAAATATAAACTTAATCAGAGGCCGGAGATGAAGCTTCGGAGGATCCCTATGCCTATTACCAGGAGGGTGATGAAGACGATAGCGCCCAGTAGGTCTTAGTTACGGTCGTTGCCTGTGGCAATGGCGTGCCGTTGCCTTAACTCCGTTGCCTTATCTACTTCTGTTTTTGGGATGTATTCCGAACCGTTCGGTCCGATGATTTAAGACTATGCCTGCGGGCTTATGATGTAATAATTCGTACTAGACACTCGTGTATGTGCACTTGGTATTTCAGCTATGAATTCGTGTGTACCAGACTACTTGATCCAGAGAAATGGTACTGTTTACACGATTAATTCCTGTTATAAAAACGGGGGTCCACACTGACAATTGTTTGACTTGTTGCAAACATCTGCTTAATTTGTTCCAAATAGAGTATGTGTCTAGAACAGTTTTTGGATCGTAATAATGCACTGAATTTAGGCTGAGTTTGGCACTCCATCTTCCCAACCCACCTCTCTCGTTTTCTGCACGCAAGCTTTTCAAACTACTAAACGGTGTGTTTTTTTACAAAAATTTATATACAAAAGTTGATTTAAAAAGTCAAATTGACAGGATATCTTGCTGTTTAATCTCATCTCTGTGTGAATTGACGACAGGAAAATTATGCGCCGGATACCGATCATACTAGTTGGTGTGTTTCATGTTCCGTGGCTTGGAATTGGATGGATCTCCATGGAGGTTTGTGATGTGTCAAGCTCCATATGGATTATATTAGACTAGATGACGCGCTTCTTGTTTGCTCTGGACAGCACATTGATCAGCCTAGCTTAGCTCACTTAAATTTGGATTTCTAGATGAGTAAATTACAAGCCAAAAGAAAATGTCAACAAAGAAAAATTATAGTGCATGGCGAACAAAGTAAATGCTGGAAAACATTTGACTCGAGATTAATTCGCAGGAACTGCTCCCATCGATCGAAGCATCAAAATATGGCATGTCTAACAAAGAACCTGCAGCATACAAAAATTACGATGTGTCAATTTATAAATGATATAGGGAATTACGGATTCCACATTATCTGTAACACCAGTAGATCTACACAATGTGCTTGGCAAGTAACATTCAAATGTTCAAATTTAAAGTCCATAAAGTGAAAATAATAACAGATTTGAACTTATCGGCATCTATCTATCTATCTATCTATACCTATACTAATTAATCACTTTTACAAGTTCCAACAATAACTAGGAAAATCTGGCCTTTGATGATTAAATAGATGGGATATTCTTCACCGTTGGTCATAAATTAAACCAAATCGCACATCACATCTTTAAAGCGATCTAATCTCCATCCAATTTTAAAGCCCGTCTAGAGCTCATATAACCATTAACCGTATATGTATGCATGTCATCACGTAAGCTTCTAATCTATATTTATAAACATCATCTAGCTAATTTATTTCCGTCCCGACTCGAGATGTGGCCATCTCGAACTCTCACGCCATCGACAAAACCTCAGAAGCAAAAGTAGCATGGTCTGTAGCTATATATACGGATGGCAAAGGTTAGAGGAACTAGAATTATCGAATTAAACTTTGATGAATTGTGCATTTGTGTTGCATGCATCTAGCTAGGCGATGCTAGATCATGGAGTCAACATTCGATGAATTGTACTATGTTTATGTCCTAGAGGAAGAAATCATTGAGTTTAATGGAAAGAGGAAGCCAGACAGATAGATTAACCAAATCTACGCATGCACCTGTGTATGGTCCAGATGTCCCGTCAAGTAGAGATAGAAGGTGAGATTGAATCATGTATATAATCCGATTCGATTCCCGTCCGTTGCAAAATATAATAAGAGAGAGAGAGCAGCCAGCCACGGCTTGCCCGACATGGCACACACGCGTGGCAGTCCCACCTCCACTTCAACCTGTTAACAAGTGCTCTCCAATAGCAACCTATTTAAATTGAGATCCTTTCATATAAATTTTTAAGGTATTATTAATCCCTTAACATTAATTGCGGGCCAATAAAATTTATTAGGAATAAATCGGGCCTAGCCCATTTATTCTAACATATCGTTCAATATTTTTTTAAAAAAAATTGATCGGTCGATGTTGTTGTATATGAAATATAATTGGCATAATATAAAATGCAATGATATAAAATTCTCCAGCCAAATATAGATCGTTGGTTTTACACAGCAAAATCTAACCGCGCACCAGCGACTCCCTCCGTTTCATAATGCAAGACTTTCTAGCATCGCGCACATTCATATATATCGATGTTAATAAATCTAGATACATTGTTGGCAACTTTTTTGGCAAGAAGACAATCACGGTCGCAATACCTAAACGTCTTGCAGTGATATGGAGTTGCCAACAACCCCAATCTAGCAAAAAGCTAGACCAAGATGGGTTTTGATAGATTAAACCAGCTAGCGGAACTAATTTAGATAGAACAATGGATAACTACCCGTCTCGTGGGCAAATGGAAGGTTTACGGGACAAAACTACGAAGGATTTCGCACTCTCGCAACGAAGGCGGACGATTTACGGCGCAAATCGACAAAGATGGACGAACTAAAGTAGAGCTATATGAAAAGTAGAAAGCAATATTGAAAAAAGCGATTCGATTGTTTGATCATTGTGTGATTTGATAATTACAATTGAACCGGCTTTGTACCTTAAACAGGGGTTGGTCTTGCCCTCTACAGGCCATCCTCCACACCGAACTCGGGGTAGAAACCAAAAGGAACCCGAAACATAACCTCCCGAATAAGAAATGCTAAGACCCGACGAAACAGAGTTTGTCTCGGACTTTGCCTGTCAGACCGGACACATGCGGCCGGTCAGACCGGCCCTAAGGCCGCGGTCTGATTGGCCCAAACACGGCGGTCGGACCGGTCCTATGGAGGAAACCGGCAGATCTCCCAAATCTTGGCAATATTCCCTAATTCAATCCCAGGTGCCAAATCTGGATGTAAACACATGCCCCCGCCTTTTTGATAAACATCTAGAATCTAAAAGTATAGAACATGTTGTCTTAGGACGATAATCCAATTACCGGCTATAGAACCTTCTAAGCATCTTGCTAAATGCTCGGGAAGTAATTCCCATTGATTGCTCTCTGAAAATGCTCTCCTTGAAGTGTCACCAAAAAATATGCATTTTCTCAAACAATCCCGCACATTCGGTAAGGACCCTCCCAACTAGGCGACCACTTATCAAACTCCCTAGATCGAGAATCCAAAGGCAAAATTATCTTTCACACCAAGTCTCGAACTTGAAACAACTTTACTTTCACCCTTTTGTTGCAGGCCTTAGCCACTCTCTTCTTCTCTTTCTCTATTTCTTCCAAAGCCTTCAAACGCTTATCAATCGCGTCATCAAGATTGTCTCCCATCGAGGTCTTGTAATCTTCAACCGACAAGTCGTCTTGCTTTATATACCAAAGAGAGCCAACACTTACCTTAACCGGTAAAACGGCTTCTTGTCCATAAACCAACTCAAAAGGAATGAATTCTTTGGGTGTTCTTCAATCTTCTTCTTGACCAATTTCAACAATGTTTTATTACTCGAGTCGGCTTGTCCATTAGCCTGAGCGTTATAAGGAGAAAAACTCAACAACTTAATGCCATAAGATTCGGCAAAATTTTGAAAAAAGTGTTTCGATTGATTGATCGTTGTGTGATTTGATAGTTACAATTGAACCGGCCTTGTTCCTTAAATAGGGGTTGGTCTTGCCCTCTATAGGCCCTCCTACACGTCCAACTCGGGGTAGAAACCAAAAGAACCCGAAATATAACCTCCCGAGTAAGGAACCAGACACCCGACAAAACAGAGTCTGGACTCTACCGGTCAGACCAGACCTCAGGCCGCGGGTTTGACCGGCCCTGTGGAGGAAACCAGCAGATCTCCTAAATCTTGGCAATTTTCCCTAATTCAATCCTAGATACCAAATTTGGGTGTAAACACACACATATATCTCTAGATTCGTTAATATCTATATAAATATAGACAATGCTAGAAAGTCTTACATTATAAAACGGAATTATGAAGCGGAGGAAGTAATTACTGATGGTAGGTAGCAATTTTATGAACTCTTAATCAGTAGTACAAGTCAAGAAGTCATGGTCAAGAGGTTATTTTCTACCTTGAAATTTCATAGTTGCGTTTACACCTAGGTACAAGAGGGTGTAAAATTCAATTAATTCTGGCCATATGTGACTACACATAATTCTACCGTTTAACCTGTCAAATTGCGTACTTTTATGTGATCCATTGCTAATCTTACGCGCCATTCAGCGTATGGACAAATACCTAGTTCAGGTAGTACATAATTTATCATGCACATTACTTTATTTTCTTTGTTTCATTATATATATTTATATAGGTCCCAATTGGAATATATAAATATTTATATTTTTTTCAACAAACTTCAACCAAAAGAGATTTTCCATGGAGGGAGAGATAGAGGGAGAGAGAGAGGGTTGAAATTACCCTTTAATTTTTTGACAAATTCAATTAATATTAATATTAATATTTTGGTTTTCAAATTTTGTCAAATAATTCCACCCCTTCGATTTTTTTAGATATGAAATTGTTTTTACCTTAAGAATTGTGTTTTTTGAAACAAACACTCATGTCCAAGGAAACAACAATCAACTCATGTTCAACGAGCATATCAGTAATTATAAACGCACATCAGGGCTAGAAAAGGCATATATAAGGTACTACATTCGTCCCAAAATATAAAAAGTTTTAGAGTTGGATATAGTTATTAGGAATGTAGGTAGAATTAAATAGGAATATATTGTGACTGGTAGGGAAATGAAAGTAGATGGGAAAAATAAATAGTTAAGGACTGTGATTAATGTTGGCAAGAAGCTATTATATAATTTTGGGATAAATTCCCAACGTTAAAAATTGTTATATTTTGAAACAGGGTGAGTAACTTAGCACGTAAGCATAAGGAAGGAATAAGTTAAGCACCCTCCGTCAAAAAAAATTCAATTCATGGGTTTCCGTGTCTAACGTTTGACCATCCGTCTTATTTTCAAAAATTATAAAAAAAATTTAAAAAAAAAGTCATACATAAAGTATTATTCATGTTTTATCATATAACAATAATGAAAATACTAATCATAAAAAAATTTCATATAAGACGGACGGTCAAACATTGGACACGGAAACCTAAAAATTGAGTCTTTTTGGACGGAAGGAGTACGTCAGATGGAATCTTCCTGCAGACCATCACTCTTGACTAGTTGTACTATATGAGATCTCAAGAAATTATAGAAAACGACCGTTTAGATCGATGCACATGTGTACGCTTCAGTCTTGTTTAAAAGTGAATAATTGAGATGTGCAATTATTTGGCGGCTTTTGTGGAAAAAATGCACTTAACTCTGCATGTACGTAGCACGTACTATCCAAGGGAAAAAAAACAACTACAAATATCACAGTTACTGGTGGCTTAACAAATTGTCTCAGATCACTACGACAACATACAAGCCATATCTGGAATTGCAACCATACTTCCCCGGATGCCTCCAATGGCAGCCACGGCCATCCTCCTCCTAGCAAACCCTGCTTCCTATGGAAACATCCTCTGTGGTTTCTCAACAGAATGCATCGAAAAAGGTAGGTACTCCTCTAGCTCCCCGTTTTGCAATGATCAACCAACAGTCAATTAATTCTCTCTCTCTCTCTCTCTCTCTCTCTCTCTCTCTCTCTCTCTCTCTCTCTCTCTCTATATATATATATATATATATATATATATATACACACACACACACACATACACACACACGGTGGCGCTACATAGCGCCACAGTTCCTCTGTTTTGTTCCCACCCCTCTCCTATCTCGAGTTAAAAAATTACCGGCTACCTCACAGAGCACCACATTTCCGGTTTTTTTGGTTTTTCCTCACTGACGTGCCAAAGTACTTCCTTCTTCTGGTCTCCACGTGGCCTTCGATATCGGTTCCCACCATAAGTAAAAAAAATTACTGAGTAAAAAAGTTACTATAGTAAAAAAATCATGTCTATCTTTGCATGGAGTAAAATTTTTACTCCCGTAATTACTGAGCAAAGTCAGGGCTCGATAATAGTAGGAGTATAGTATATTTTTCACTCCTGTAAATCTTTTGCATTACTCTCAATTTGTTTGCAGTAATATTTTTATTACATCAATTTTTGCAGTTATTTTAGTTAGTAATAAATTTGTTTAATCATTCCATATTGAAAAATGTGTGTAAAAATGTTCAGTCATTAAAATACGAGTATCATGTTCCTTTTTGGCTGGCCCACATAATTGTGTAGCTAGCACCCGTACGAAATTATCTAATTTTTTTACAAATGGTTTTCTTTAATTTGTTAAATAGTCATCTTATTTTGTTGTCCTAGGATTTTTTTAAAAAAAATCGAACCTAATCATCATCGGGTTTCTAATTTTATAGTTTTTAAAAGTCTCATCAGTCACCACCACTTACTATGCCGCCTTTTATTTGCTTGCCTGGTCTATTATGACTTCTTTTCATTCTCCTTGCAACCTTTGAAAATCAGACTTCATTATATCATCTGATTCTGTCTTTGAAAATGCTGCCACTGTAATTCTTTGCGGTCTGCGCACCGAACCCCCTCTTTATTGTCACTCAAATTTAAAAATCGTACCAGATCATTGTTGGTTTCTTTTTCTTTAACTTTCTAGAAATCCTGTCAACCACTACGACACTACTCCTTCACGGCTTGCCCACTGCCTCTTCTCTTAATCATCATTAGGATTCTAATAATCGAATCTAATCGTCACTGGAGTTTTTTTAGAGATTTCAGATATCCCATCAACCACTACCACCCTACTTCTTTATGGCTCCCTCGATGCCCTCTGTCTCTTTATTGTCATTTGTCATCGTTATGTTCTAGACAAACTGCTCTTTCAGTATTTTTTTTTATTTTCTTTTATTCTGATTTTTGTTATTTATAAATTGTAATTATACTTTAACTCTGTTTTGTTTCTATAATTTTGGAATTTATTTTACTTTTATTTCAAATTTTAATTGATATCCTGTACTGTTATAGATTGACTGTTTTTTCAATATTCTTTGTTTTTTATTCTGAATTTCAGCTATTTCTAAATTACGTTCCTACGTAGGAAACTCTGTTTTTCCCTTTTTTAATTTCGAAATTTATTTTTTTTGAATTTTAATTAATCTCATATCGGGTTCTATATGTACTGTTATTCCAAAATTTCTTATTCTTAATTTTGAGTTTCAGTTATTTCTAAATTGTACTCATAGTTGATATACACATGTGGGGATGGGTTAAATTTGTCATAAATAGAATAACACTAATGAAGGAAGATGAGAGATGATTCCTGGAATTGTCCTCTTCTCTATCAGGTATCTGGTCAGAGTCTGCAAGCTTTAGCGATGATGGGCTTGGTCCTGTGCCTTCCAAGTGGAAAGGCACATGTCAAGCTGGGCAAGAATTCAAATCTAACCTGTGCAACAGGAAGATAATTGGAGCTCGATGGTATGACGGGCATCTGAAGCCAAAGGATCTTGAGGGTGAGTACAGGTCGGCCAGGGATACTAACGGTCATGGGACACACGTAGCGTCCACCGCGGCTGGTGCCCTGGTGCCGAATGTTAGCTTTCACGGTCTCGCTACCGGTTATGCCAGGGGCGTTGCGCCTCACGCGCGACTTGCTATTTACAAGGCTTGCTGGGGGCCAGGAAGGAGTTGCAACGAGGCAGCCGTGTTGCAAGCGATTGATCTTTCTCTTGGAGGGCCCAGCTTTGAATATTATACTAGCCTCCACGCTGTGAACCATGGGATATATAACAGTTGTCTTCTCGGCGGGAAATGATGGCTCTGCTCCTAGGACTGTTACAAATGCATCCCCCTAGGTCATGTCAGTAGCGTCGGCCACAATAGACCGTACTTTCCCCACTTGCCAATAGCACCAGTAACCTTGTGGTATGTTAAGTTCCTCCTCCTAGCAGTTGTTCTTTTCATGTTAAGTTCTTTGGTGTATGCATGCATGTAAAGAGGCATTAATTGATGGATTATGACACTGAAATCTTGTTAACATTGACCCCAGGGTCAATCCGTTATTCTATGAGCCAAAATATAACAACAACTGGTATGGGATTTATAACTCCAGGTATGGTTATATATTAATGATCCATCATGCCATGCTGCTTTTCAAGCTTGTCAAAGTATACTATACTGTTCGGACTTTCCTAGTTGAATATAATACATTAATGTTTCATCAAATGTTTGTATGTTCGTGCATGCAGATGCTTTGATGACACTTCCGTCACGATTAATTAATGCCACGCTTGCTTCTGGGAAGATTGTCTTCTGCTACAATCCTGCACCTATGACGACAATATCACCAATCTTCTACACCTCTAAGGTTGTGAAATATGCCAAGGAGGCTGGTGCAAAGGGGATCATTCTTGCCACATATGCTTTTGATATGCTAGATGCCTTCGAAATCTGTGGCAGCATGCCATGTGTTCTAGTGGACTTCGATGTTGCAACGGGCTTGTATTACGCTCTCGTTCAAAACACTGAACTGGTAGTTAAGGTGACCCCTGATCTTACATGGTTAGGGAATGGAGTGCTTGCTCCAAAAATCTCAACATTCTCCTCCAGAGGACCCAGTCCACTTTTTCAAAAGTTCCTCAAGGTACATCTGAGTTTGATCCTCTGCCAGGAACCCAGTAGCAATAATGTGGACATAGATAATTTCTCTTTCCTAATTATTATTGTAACTAATATTTGGTCTATAACAATTTTGAGGGTTTATTGCATAAATAGATGATGGACTAGCAATAGAGGTTTTATAAACATTACCCTAGGACTAAATTAACATTTTGGCAAAATAGAAAGAGAAGTCGTAGGGAACACTATTATAGTTTGTACTGACCACTGAACACGGAAAGTAATGAACTTAAAAGGGAGATTACAGGTGAATCGAAATTAGTGCGCTGATTCGCAAATATAAAATATTGAAAAGATACAAACCAGAGAATTACATGTCGCTATTTTCTACAATTATTTGTGCCTTGTTGGACGTATCCATATCTGACCTATACTCTTACATTTCTATAGCCTGATGTTGCGGCACCTAGATCTAATATCTTGGCAGCTGTCAAAGATCCATACACGTTCAAGTCAGGAACTTCAATGGCATGCCCACATGTGTCAGGTGTAGCTGCATTACTCAAAGCATTGCATCCAGATTGGTCTCCTGCTATCATCAAATCAGCAATAGTGACTACAGGTGATACTATTTGTAAATTTCCAAAACAACGAAATGCTTTTTCTAGCATATATATGTGGCACTGATTTGTTTTCCTTAACTTCAACATCGCGCAGCAAGTAATGATCGATTTGGCTTACCAATATTGGCTGATGGGTTACCTCAAAAGCCAGTAGATCCATTTGACTATGGTGGCGGCTTCATTGATCTAAACAGAGCTGTTGATCCTGGCCTAGCATATGATGTTGATCCAAAAGACTATATCCCATTCCATGATTGTTTTTTAGCTGGCAACTCAAGCTGTGAATCAGAATCCAGAAATCTGAACATTCCATCAATTGCGATCCTAAATCTAAAGGAACCAACAACTGTGCTAAGAACAGTGACAAATGTAGGCCAAGCTGATGCAATTTACAAGGCTGTTGTGCAATCTCCTCCGGGCATGCAGATATTAGTAGAGCCATCCATTCTAAAATTCAGCGCTGGCATGAATAAGCAGAGCTTCAAGGTCACATTCACCACGACACACAAGGTTCAAGGTAACTACCTGTTTGGTAGCCTAGCTTGGCATGATGGCGGCGCTCACTATGTCAAGATCCCCATTGCAGTTCGACCTGTTTTATCCAACAATTATTATTCAGATGTCTGATGAAGCCTCCGACTACAAGTCATTGAGAGGTTCTGTGGAGCTTGCCTCATCCTATTTTGGCCCCCTCAAAGTTGAATTTGTTGGCCTCGCCAAGACATTTATGTTTGTCTGTAATTTGTGTTTTCCATATACTCTGTGATATCTTGTATTGTATACTCTGTGATACCTCGTATTGTATAAAGATATGAGTGAAATAATAATGAATAAATGAGGGGCTTTGTGAAGAGTTTTATCTGGATTGGCCTGATACTCCATCTAATTACTTCTTTTATTTCAAGTTGCTGGTCGAAAATTAATCTGGATTCTGGAGTGCTGCAGTAATTCTTGGCAACCCGAGATCACAATTGATTCACTCGTAGTTGTTGGAGACCACAAGCTGCTGACATTTGATTTGACTTGTTGCAAACATCTGCTTAATTGGTTCCAGCTTCCTGATAGATAGAGTATGTGCCCAAAACAGTTTTGGATCCTAATATTGCACTCACAATCAAGTAGATAGCTTTGCTATTTATTGTCATTAATTATGAGATGGACTTAGCAGAGCAATGACAAGGGGTGTGTGGTTTCAACCCAAGGTCCTGGATTTAATGTTTGGTTTGGAGGGATGTCTCTTCCTCCAAATCTCCTCTTTTTTTTAATGTCATTACTGTGTGAATGGCAAGAAAGTTATGTGCCGGTTGCCAGTCATACTAGTTACTGGTAGTTGGTATGTTTCACGTTCTGTAGCTTAATTTGGATGGAGCTTTTTCTAAGAATATGCAAAAGGCCAGTGTATACATCAAGAAGAAGAAAAATTGTACAATCTCCAATAACTTACTTCTTCCGTCCCTAAAAATCAACTTTTAGAGATAAACCTGTATAAGCATTTGTTGAGATTGATATCTAGAAATTATCTTTTTCTTGGGACGGAGGGTGTATCTAATAGGCGCAGGTATTCGAGGATAGCTTGTACACCCAGCACTGTGTGTTTCCTGCGCGCAGCATTAGGGATCTTGCTGCAAATTGAAACCTTCCCATGACACGAAATCGGACGCCTGAGCGAGACCGAGCTTGAAGAAGACACTCGCCCTCTTAATTTGCACCGTGCAATTAATTTCCGGGCAGATTGTCGCCCGGACCACCATCAAGTTGTCCAAAATATTGCACCGACTTTTGATGAAAGCACTATGATTCGTGCTGTCATCCTTGGCTCAAGGTGAAGCGCCAGTTACAAATTAAAGCTCAGTTAAGCTTATGGAGACGACTGATGCTGTCCAGGCGAAAGAGCAGCTGGTTGATCGTTGCCATCAGATGCTCTTTGGTCAGCTCCCAGCACTGCTTGTAAAGCCATCAGGTCCAGCAGGGTTTACACTTTTGTTTTCCAACAAAATTACAGAATTTCGGTGGTCGGTACTTTTCATTATGAAATTATATGACAATTTTACTAAATATGAATGAATTTAAATAAATTTTGAGCAAATTCATAAAAAAACAAAAAAATTAGATGAGATATGTGCTTGTTGGTGGAGGGTGCAATTACCGAAATTTCTAAAATTTTGTTCCGAAATTGTATCCTCTGATTCTGGTCCAGGGTTCGGTCACCCAGCATGGCTTTGATTTCCGATCGACCAAACTTCCTCCAGGAAGTATGATCGTCGTTTGTTCCCCATGGTAAAATTTATCTAAGAAAGTATACATAGCGTGCACCTCAAAAGTAATTTATTGAGCTTAAATTATTCTCTTGTCATCTTCGGTCAAAAAGTATGTTTTGTGTAACACACCAGTACAAATGAGTTACTGTACACTTTCTTAGAGAAATTAAATGGTTTACTTGGAAATTAAATTGCCACGTTTGCCAGTTCTTATTCAATAGTGGTCATCTAGTTATGTTTCTATAAAAATTGGATCATTGTCAACTTTGTAATCATAAAAAATGTAATTTTATTGATGCTATTTTTCTCTTTTGGCTTTAAAACGTTCATATGAACAGGTCCAGGTTCAAATATGGTTTTGTGCATGTGAGAACAAATCGCACATTTATATATTTACTCATCGCATCGCGATATCACGGGTACTTTATGTGAGCCACTTCGGCACGTAGAAAAAATAATTTGTTGAGCTTAAATCATTTCTCTTGTCATATTCAGTCAAAATGCACGCCAAATGTAGTGCACCATCACAACATAGAAATAAATATTGGCATGTTACGATAGGTTACATACTTTTTTCATGTGCGGTAATGTCTAGAGTTCCATGCACATGTCAGAGTGTTTCTATGGTGATACTTCCTCCGTTTCATAATATAAATCATTTTAGCATTGTCCATATTTATATAGATGTTAATGAATCTAAACATATATGAATGTATGGATTCATTAACATCTATATGAATACGGACAATGCTAGAATGAGTTACATTATGAAACAGAAGAAGCACCATTGATATCACAATGGGCTAGCAAGACATGTACATGTGAATCGGTCTCATACTCACAAAACGAGATAGATATAGCTATTTATACCGGTATTTTAACGCACTAACAGAAAAGGATTAGTACCAATTAATATATATCCATTTTTTCTAAGAATTAGAATGAACGTGTAAAAAGAAAAAAAGCAATGATTAATGTAATTATTATCCTACAATCATAATAGCTATACCATTTAGTTAAAAAAAAAGGAGAATTGCTATGCATCCATATTTAGTTGGTAATGTTCTAATTCTTAGAAAAAAATTTGACGAGCAGACATCCCAGCATTGAATATGCAAACCTGCAGCATATCTGGAGTGGAAAGGCGTTGGGCTACTCTATCTCTCATCATCACTACAATAAAAATACTAGAGACAATTTTTTAATACTATTGAGACACTTTTCAAGTGCCTTACAGTGAATTGTCGCTTTAAATAACTAGTTGGGTGCTGATTTGTGCCGCATAATTTGCATACAAATTGTTCTAATCAATGTTAAATTCCATCAAGAAATTTTTGCCACGAGTTCACTTGTTTGTCGTCACAACATGCTTTGCTTGCCATTTTCCTTAGCAGAAGGATATCAAAAGGACTAAAACCTGTAGAATGAAAACTGCTTTTTTTAGCATATTCGTCAACATACTCTTGTAATAGATGTTTAACTCTTTCTAAATAAAGAACTAACCTGGATTACAAATCAAAGAAGCAACCTGCTATTAATTAATTTGGAAAAAATCAACAAGGCTTACAAATTTAAAAATACAACCAGCTAATAATTTGGATAATTTAATATGCCGAGATGACTTCTTATATGTCTAACTAATAGAAAAACCATGATCACAGAAAATGATGATACGAGCCTTAGATCTTATTTGTCAACATACAGGAACAGATCAGTTGGATAATTACGCTAGATATTTTGACAACATAAGGGCAGTTACATAGACTGAAATAGATTCTTCATATGTGTACATATATGAACAAATCAATATATTCATATTTGGTGAAGTCACTCTGCAAATCTGATCATGCAAGTGAGGCACGTAGTGTATTAATATTTTATTCTTAACTAATACTGATAGAATTAGTTATAACAATAATTGAAAAAAAAGAATGTGATAAATGCATGCATGTGAAAAAAAATAGTTTTACACTATTATTCAGAAAACAATTCTTCTAGCAATCATCTAGCTACAGTCTTCTTGAAATAAAATATTTATATATTCTTCTCTGTGCCACCACCACCTTAATATTGTTGCAGAAAAGGCAAGAATAGCATCATAAAATATATTAATCATCATCAAACTTCAATTTAACTTTGCGATGGTCTCAAATTTTACAGATAAAGAGCTGGTACTATATAGATGGTTCAGAATATAAATTTGTAAGATAAGCATGAAGTAGAGCACTATGAGTTATCAGAGTTCTTCGGTACAACATATCTAAATATCTATGACAATTTGAAATGATTTTATATGATCCACAAGTATTTGCACCATGGATCATTCAATGGATGCGCTTTTTGCCTTTTTCGACATACTCATCGAACTGCAGCCAAATATCTGCAGACAGTTGATATCATAAGGAAAATTAGGATTCATATATACTTACTAAATGAACCATTTGAGGTACTACATTGATTAATCAGTATAGAATGGTACACTTGAGTAAGTACCACAGCAACAGCCTTCACCATTATCTATTCTAAAATAGTTCAAAGCAGTCACTAACGAAAAACAAAGATTCCTAAGATTATACATGGCCAGCCATTTAGCTTTGAAGTTACCTTTAGATGGCACGAGGAGAAATGTAATTCCAGCGTTCAATAAAAACAAATGCTAAAAATCCTGGATCCTGAACAGTTGATCCTCGGTGAGCACCTGAGTTGCGATTCCCCTGGCCATGCAAGTGTGTCGCTGATATATACCACTAACTCCTAGGGTCCCATCATTCCTATAGCATTACTACATTAGTTTTATAAACAAATTATAGAACAATAATATAGAGTAAAATTTTCAAAAGTCAGTCCTTGCATGAAATTCAGAAAATGGTAACTTTTATACCAAATGGATTTGAAAATTTGAAGGATTTTGACTACACTCAGATCCGTGCCCCTGATGGCATTCCCAAAAAAACACTACCTGAATTATGGAAAACAGTTTACCTTCACAGTTGATTAAAAATTAACAAAATCTCTATTTGCTACAATCTAAAAAAAACTTGATAGAAGAATACTAACTTTGTTTCTCAAGGGGGCACGTCTGGTGTAGTACAAGTCTTAAAATGCTTCCATCAAGAAAAGCTTCTATACCTGCAGAATGTCCATGTACAGAGTTGTTGTCATCATGAGCCAACATTCTCAAATTCTAAAACAGCTTTCGCATTTGAAAATACTGAAGAACTTACCATTTTCTGATTCCATCATCAGCAACCATACATTGAGGCATCCCAGCATGTATACAACATGTTATTGTACAGACATCACAGGCAAAGACAAATTCCCCGATCTGAAAATTTCTAGATGGATTTGAAGAAAGAGATGGGAAAATTTTAGGGTTTGGGGATAGATACCGTGCAGCCGGATGGGCTCGTCATGTGCCGTCGTCAGCTGCACTCACCCTCAGCACGCCATGCGCCGCGTGCTCACCCTCAGCCCTCTTGTGTCGGAGGATACCTGCGAGGCGGGAAAAAAGGCGGCGAAGATCAGGGGCGGGGTGGAGGAGGCAAACGACTCGCATAATGGGGTGGCGCAGAGGAGATTGGCTTCCGGTGGCACGGGTCGTCGTGTGCCCTCACCCTCATGCGCCGCTGGGGTCGTCCTGAGCCCTCTTGTGATGGAGGATACCGGCGAGGCGAGAGACGATGGGGGCGGTGAAACGCGAGGGGATCGACGGGGGTGCAGGCGGAGGAGGGAGAAGCGCGAGGAGAGCGCCGCGAGCGCGAGGGGAGAGGATCGATCCGGGAGCGGCGTTGTGGGTGGGGTTGCGGGCGGGGAGGGGTGGGGAGCGATTTCACGATCGCCGATCGGGGCGGGGGCGGTGCGAGTCGGGTGGGAAGTGGGAGGGATCGATCCTGAGCCGTTGGATTGGGCGATCGAACGGTGTATACTACGCGTGTCTGCCTAATCCAATGGTTAATAGGCTACGTCTACGTTGGCTTCACCATTACCACTACGGATTTTTTAAGTAGTAGAGAGTAGAGAAGAGGCATTTTATAAAAATGTCTCTATGTCTTGTGACATTTTAATAGAGGCGTTTTTTATGTCTATAAAAGAGTAGGGACATTTTCTAGATTCAGTAAATTGTACCGCAACCATATAAAACCAGTGTGAAAAACATAAAAAATATTTCTCCTTGCTATTGCTAATCCTTGAGTGACCTCTTCAGTGATTCCTTTTTTATCTTCAACACACTACCCAACTCAACTTTATGTCATTACTTGTGCCTTGTGTTACTCATATCTAGTTCTTGAAGTGCCTCTACTAAGCTTAAAATGTCTCAAGAAAATGCCTTTACATAACAAAATGTGCTGAAAATGTCTCAAGCAAAGTTTATAGTGTTGAAAGAATGTCTATATAAGATAAATTTTAACAAAATGTGCTAAAAATATTTCCAAAGTGTCTCTAGAGAATTTCAATAAAATGTGCTGAAAATGTCTCTAAAGTGACTCTAGAGTAAAATTTTTTGAAGCAATCTTTAAAGTGCCTCTAAAAGTGTCTCCTGATTTTAGAGGCCATTTGAAAATTGCCTCTACATCATGTTTTTGTTGTAGTACGTGTTGGTTGCTTGGGAATATTGGAAACATTGGAATGGCCGCATGTTCAATCCACTACAATGATGCCTATGTCGCACTCTTTTCTTCTTTAAAGAAATTGTCACACCCTGATTTTCGTCTTAGGGTTTATAAATTATTTAATAAATTAATAATAGAATTTATATTAAATGTTCATTAATTTACAAGTGAAGTTAAATGTGGGAAATAAAATTTCCTAAATATAAAGCATGGATGGATTTATTTTTTTTTAAATTCTCCATGGTTAATTATACTCTCTGGAATTTTCTCGGATTTTTCAGAGCTCAATTATTAATTTTAATCATACAAAGAGAAGTTCAGCAATTATTTAAATATTAAATTAATCATTAAATGATCTAATTATAATTGTTAAGAGTTTTTCTTGTTTAAAAATCCTTAAATTATAAATTGTTGTCTAAAAGGAATTATTAGAAACAATTTTAAAAGCTTAAAAGAGAAGATCTAATTTTAATTTGCTAAATTTCAATATAAAATTTGGGTTAGATAAAATTTTATTAAATACTTTGCTTGTTCCTCTATTTTCTAGATTTTTCTGGGAATTGTTTGAGCAAGGAAAGTATTTTTAATAAATGAAACAACATTTCACAAATTATTTTAATTGAAAAAGTTTTAAAACCCTCCCTAAAGCCGTTGGGCCGAATTCGGCCCAACATCCTCTCTCTTCCGCGCGGCCCACGCCGGCCCAGCCGCCGCCCGCCCTCCTCTCTCTCGAGTCACCGACATGTGGGGCCCACATGTCGGGCTCGTCTTCAACCTCCGGCCGAGCCGCCCGAGCCGCCGCTTTGCCGCTGCCTTCTACCTCCAAATCCGCCTCAATCCGACCCCGATTCCTCCGGGTTTTTGAGGGGTTTTGTTCCTCTCGTTCTCCTCTTTCTTTTCCCCCAAGAATCGGAGCGAATCGTTGAGGATTTGATCCGAATCGAGTTCGTTTTGATTTTATCCCTAAAACCGAGTTTGTTTTTTCCCGAGTCGATTCCTCTCGTTTGGAGTTCGATCTCTTCAATCCAATGCTTTATAAAGCTTCCCCTCGTCGCCCTCTTCCGTTTGCCCCATCTCCCGAGCTCTCCCGTGCATCGTAGCGCCGCCGCCGCGTGCACTAAGCTCGCCGCCGTCGCCGGCCGTCTTCGGCCGCGTCGCGCCGCCGCGTTCGCCGTCGCCGCCGCTTGCCGTCGCCACCATTAGGTGCGCCGTGGTGAGAGGGACCTCGGCCACCCGTTCCCCTTCGCCGCCGACCACCGGAGTTCCGTCGTCGTCGGTCAAGCCGAGCCGCCGCCGTTGCCCTCTCGTCGCCGGCCGTCGTCGTGCATCGTTTGTCGTCGTGGTGAGTACCGTTGGGTTCGCCTCGTCGTCCTCTACGTGTACATGTCCTCCAAAGTCGCAGCCGACCATCCAATCTCCAGCGAGCTCGCAAACCCTAACCGGCCGCCATTGCTGACATCAGGATGACGTCATCGTCTCCTTTTCTTTTTCTTTTTTCCAATTTTCTAATAGATTGAATCTTCTGAAAATCATAACTAAATAACCGTAGCTCCGTGTCAGGTGGTTCAAGTTGCTACATTTTTCTAAAATAAAGATCTACATATTAAAATTGTCCATAAATTGAATTAAATTTATTTAATTCTTTTTAAATGGGCTTTAATTAGTTTTGATCTTGTAAAATTCATAATAAATTCATTTGAAGTCAGAATGAGGCCGTTCAAGTCTCATAATTCATCTAAAATTATGATCTACATGTTTGTTTACTTTTTATGTACTGTTTATTTGGTTTTTATTAGTCTTTTTCTTCGTTTTGCGTGTTAGCTTGTCGTTTCCGTCGTTGCGAAGGTTCGTGAGTGCGTCGGAAGTGATCAGGAAGATTAATTGAAGATCGATTATTGCAAGGCAAGTCACACAGATCCTAAACACAATCCTTTGAGTATGTTGATCCTATATTTAAATTCTTTATTTATTTCAACTGTGCATTTATTTTCGAATGTCATCGGGTGGTGTGAACCTATTCCTTTGTTATGGCTAATTTGCTTTGAATACCCTATTCCTTGATACCTTGGGTAATAAATTGATTAGTTTGAACCTTATGTATTGGTTTGGTTCAGCTAAATGTTATATATATATAATTGCTTAGCAATGCTTAGAAACATTAGCTCATTAATGGGATGAATTATATATACTACATTATTATTTATGGTTATTTTTAATGGTAGCTCACGATGGTTAATCGTGTGATGATAATTAATTGATAATTAAAACCTGGTTAAGGTGGGTTGTGAGCATATGGTTTTGATGGTTGTGCTCATGACAATTAAGGACCGGTTCTCGAGCTACTGTTGTGAAACATTAACCGTACCAACCACAAGCCAGCATGGGCAACGGCTTTATCTCTTGTATAGCATGATTCATTATAGTGTGCCAGACTGTGAAGTGGCGAGAAGTCCATGGGGGTCGCTGGGGAGTCCATGCCTCTGGTTGTAGAGGGGGTGATTATGATCCAGGAATGGTGCACTGTGGTGAGTTGTGTTATGCAGAGGGTATTGTCACAGCCTCTATTCGGGTACTTTCCAGTATCGCGACGCATGGTAGACATGATGTTGAGGCTGTGTCTTGTGGGTACAGTGGTACACCTCTGGCCAGAGTAAAACTATTCGAATAGCCGTGCCCGCGGTTATGGGCGAGTTGAGCAATGTTTTTCGTGATTAGTCTCACACCTCTCACAATAATTATGGATGTAATAACTGGTAATAATTTGCTTAGCTCCTGGTTTGGAGTTAGATCTGTACAGCCGGGTATGATTGTTCAGGATGGTTGGGCCTGTGCAGCATGGGTGTGCTGTTCAGTGTTGATTAAAATTTCTGATTAATTACTCCACTGTTTTATTTCTCTTAAATGTTTTGCTAAATGCTGCTTTTGCAAATGAGCCTATATTATGCCATCCTTTGGTATCCTTGTGCACTTGCATATTTGCTGTGTGGCTTGTTGAGTATGTCATATGCTCATTCTTGCAATAATCAATCAAACTCAGTTGAAGAAAAAGGATCCAGAAGGAGAAGACGTTTGGCTTATACCCCAGTTAAACTGCCTGTGGGAGTGGAGCCGGAGCTTCGCTAGATTTTATTTTTCTGCTGCAGTTTTCTTCTTGGTGAGGACTAAGTGCCTCTTAAGTAAGTATTTATCGTTTTAGTTAATTTGATGAATCTGTATATTAAATTGTCAGTTTGTGTACCTTGGCTGATTCCTGGACGAGGATTTTATGCACAAATTAGTTCGGAAATTACTAGTGAATTTCCGGGCGTGACAGAAATGACCCGCAACTCTCCTATATGTTCAAGAAAAAAGAAATGAGAGACTCGACTATATAATCCTTGTATACCATTCAAGTAAGCCATTTGAATTGAGGATTCATCTTCCATTCTTTCCTGGTGACAAAATTTATGCAAGGAAAGCATAGTAACTCGTTAATATAGCGTGTAAATTAGTTTGTTGAGCTTAAATCATTTCTCTTATCATTTGTGTATAAAAACACACCATGTTTAGTACATCATCACAACATAGCTAATGGATATTGGCAGCTTGCGAGGTCACATGTTTCTTGCCAACAAAGGACATGTTCCACCGTATAGTGGTCCATGCACACGCCAAAGTGTTTCTAGTTTAGTATTATATGTTACTACCATTGGTATCCTAACGGGAAGAAACACATTACGTGTGAATCGGTAACATCCTCGCAAAACAAGACAAATATAAACCACACGCTAAAGAAAAGGTTTAGCAACAATTAAACGGGTTAATTTTTTATGATCACGATATACATCTATTTCCACCAAGGAAAAAACAACTGGCAAACATTCAAATTACTAAAGAAAAAACATAATAACTCTTTTATATAGCGAGTACTTCTTGTTAACTTGTTGTGATTAAATCAATTTCTCTTGTCATTTTCGAAAAAAAACCATGCCATGTGTAGTACAATCGAAGCTACTAACAGATATTGGCATATGTTGCAAAGCCACATGTTTCTTCCAAAAACAAGACATGTGTTCTACCATGCAGAGGTACAGCTTGACTGAAATGGAGAGGGGTGCCACATGCTTGCTTTACTCTGTTTTGGATCAAATTCAAGCTGATATGAATGTCTAAGTTTGCACCTAGGGGGGTGCATATATGGTGAAAATAGATAAATTATAGCTAAGAAATTTTCTTGACCGGGTTCCTAGGCACCCCTCTCCGAACATGTAGCTCCGCCCCTGTGTCAGTGTTTCTACTTTAGTATTATAAAATTGTTGCGACTACCATTGGGATCACAACGGGCTAGAGAAGAAAAACACTACGCATCAATTGGCCCCTTCCTCTCTAAACAAGATAGGCAAAAACCCGCTCATATTTATACACAATTGTTTTGACGCATTGAAAGAAAACATATAGCTGATTACTTTTTACGATCACGATATACATATATTTCCACCTAGTAGAACACAGTTGGCAAACATTCAAATTACTAAAGAAAAACCATAATAGCTCATTTATGTAGCACACACTTCTAGTTCTAGTTAGTTGAGATTAAGTCAATTTCTCTTGTCGTTTCCGGGAAAAAACCACACCATTTGTAGTACATCATCACATCATAGCTAATAGATATTAGCATGTTGCAAGGCCACAAGTTTCTTCTCAACATAGGACATGTGTTCTATCGTACAGAGGTTCTCGCATATGTCAGATTGTTCCTACTTTAGTATGATATAATATTATGCTGACTACCGTTGGGAACACAATGGGCTACAGAAGAAAAACATTATGTGTGGATTGGTCCTATCCTCACAAAACAAGATAGAGATAAATCCTCTCCTATTTATACACAAAAGTTTCGATGCGCTAAAGAAAACATTTAGTACAATTAAGCCGATTACTTTTTCTACAATCACGATATATATCTATTTCTACAGAGTAGAACAATTGGCAAACATTCAAATTACTAAAGAAAACACCACAATAACTCATTTATATAGCACAAAATTCTTTGTGGAGATTAAATAAATTTCACTTGTTGTATCCGGAAAATACCACGCCATGTATAGTATATCATCACATCATAGCTAATAGATATTAGCATGTTGAAGGGCCACAAGTTTCTTCCCAACAAAGGACATGTGTTCCATCATGCAGAGGTCCTCGCACACGGAAGAGTGTTTCCACTTTAGTATTACAATAATGTGCTAACTACCATTGGGATAAAAAAGGGCTACGGAAGAGAAACATTACGAGGGAATCGATACCATCCTCTTAAAACAAGATAGAGATAAGCTCACTCCTATTTATACACAAACGTTTCAACACGCTAAAAGAAAAAATTTAGCAAAAATTAAACCGATTACTTTTCTTTACGATCACAATATGCATCTATTTCCACCTAGTAGAACAATTGGCTAACATTCAAATTACTAAAGAAAACCATAATAACTTATTTATATAGCACACACTTCTAGTTTGTTGAGATTAAGTCAATTTTTTTTTGTTTCTTGAAAAAATCACGGCATGTGTAATACATCATCATATCATAGCTAGTAGATATTGGCACATGTTGCAAGACCACATGTTTCTTCCCGACAAAGGACGTGTTCTACCATGCTGAGGTCCACACAGACGTCGGAGCGTTAGAACCTTTCTACTTTAATATTATAATATTATCGTGACTACCGATGTGAACAGGATGGGCTATAGAAGAAAAACATTACGTGTGAATCAGTCCCATCCCTTCAAAACAAGATAGACATAAAATCGCTTCTATTTATAAACAAACGTTTCGACACGCTAAAAGAAAACATTTAGCAACAATTAAACCAATTACTTTTTACGATCACGATATCCATCTATTTCCACCCAGTAGAACTGTTGGAAAACATTCCAATTACTAAAGTAAAACCATAATAACTCATTCACACACTTTTTGTTCGTTGAGATTAAATAAATTTCTCTTATCGTTTTCAGAAAAACCATGCCATATGTAGTACATCATAACTAATAGATATTGGCAGTTTGCAAGGCCACATGTTTCTTCCCAGCAAAGTACAAGTGTTCTACCATGCAGAGGTCCATGGACACGTCAAAGCGTTTCAAATTTAGTATTGTAATACTATTGTGACTGCCGTTGAGATCACGACGGGCTAGAGAAGAAAAACATTACGTGTGAAATTGTCACATCGATCCTCACAAAACAATATAGACATAAACCCTCTCCTCTTTATACACAAACAAACATTTTAACGCGCTACATGAAAAAAAGTTTAGCAAACAATTTAACCAGTTACTTCTTTATGATCACAATATATGTCTATTCCACCTAGCAGTAAAACAGTGGCAAACATTCAAAAATTTGTAAAGAAAAACCATAATAACTCTTTTATATAGCACATACCTTTAGTTTGTTGAAATTATATCATTTCCGTTGTCATTTCCCACAAAAAAAGCATGCCATGCATCATCGTATGGCTAATAGATATTAGCATGTTGCAAGGCCATATGTTCCTTGCCAACAAAATACATGCATTCTACGATGCAAAGGTCCACGCACACGTCAGAACATTTCTACATTAGTATTATAATATTATCGTGACTTGGGATTAGAACGTGCTAAAAAAATAAATTTCGTAAAACCCCACCTATTATGGTCCAAGTTTTAGAAAACCATAATACATAAGGTATGTGTTATGTGTCAAAATACCTATAATTTTGTTAGACTTATACCATAGTATGTGGTGTTTAATGTAATTCACTTTTTTTTTAAAAAAAAGCATTATGTGTAAATCGGTCACATCCTCACAAAACAAGATAGATATAAACCTACTCCTCTTTATACAGAGACGTTTCGACGCACTAAAAGAAAAAAGTTTAGCGAACAATTAAACTAGTTTACTTTTATACCATCATCACAATACATACCTATCCCACCTACTAGTAAAACAGTTGGCAAACGTTCAAATTCCTAAAGGACAGCCATAACTAGATGAGCTAAGCGAAAACAAAAAAAAAAAAGACATGACTAAACCAGATTTGTACAGAACTAAAAAGTGGTCAAGAAGTGAGAAGAAAACGTGATGAAGCCGAGACGGAGAGCGTGGACGGCCATGGGCCCCACCTGGCGCGTGTCCGCTATAAATACCCTCTCTCTCTCCTCGCTGCCGCCTCCCACCACTGCGTCATCTCCAGATTCCCTTCTCCTGCAAGCCTCCTCTTCCGATCGCCGCCGCCCCCGCCGCCGATGGAGCGCGCCACCGCTGCACACCCCGCCTCCTCCTCCGTCTCCGCCGCCCACTGGATGGCGACGGAGGATCTCGGCCTCCGCCGCAACATCATCAACAACATGTGCGTCACCACCCGCTCCCCCCCTTCTCCTCTTAAATCCTCTCAACACGATCGATTTTTATTTTCTTTATTTGATTTCCTCATGGGGATTAATCGGAGTTCTGTGAGGGAGGAGCTAGCTTGGATTGCGGAGTCTCCGGCGGCCGGGGGTTTTGGTTGGCTTGTTTGGTCGCCGCCGTCGTTGCTCTAGCTGCTGTGGTTTTGGGGGTTCTTGATCCGGGTCGGCGGCGGCGGCGGCGAGGTGTAATGCTGGTTTTGCGGAGGGTTTTGCTCCATGACACCGACATGGTCGATTGATGCTCGATGCGTGCCGTACTGAATTCAGGGTTGGAGATTCACGGATTTGATTAGCCGCCGTCGCTCTATTATGATCCCGACGATCCATTAATTAGCTCTAATATTGCTTTGTTTGTGTATATGTGCATGCTATTGCAATCTATCCCAAATTACTTTGCTCTGTTTGGCGCTGCTTTCAAAGCTGGAAATCTGCCATATTCCTTTTTGGTTGCTAATTAAGTGAGATGGTGTATATAGATTTATTAATGTACTGATGCATTGCTTGATTGTATGGGCCTGATTCTTGGTTGCAAAGATGTGATCAACTGATGTCAACATGTTGTTATGAGGTGTGATTCAAAGATTTTGAATTGATAAAATCTGACCGGGTTACAATATCGACTGCTTTTCAGGGTGAAGAAATTTATGACCATTACCAATTCTCAGCAAGATCATCATTACCGGGAGATCCAAAATTATGCTATCAGATGTGAACAGGACGCGCTTAACAAGACCACCAATAAGGTATATACATATATCTGTGCAGCTAATCTGTTCCTGGCTTCCTGCTCTATCGATCGATAGATAATTTGTTCCCTGTACCAATAAATATTCATATCATCGTTCGCGTGCAAGTGCAATATTGCGGTGTGTCCAATTTGTTTTCGGTGCAACAATTCATTTATATGTTCCTTCTACTTAAGCGAATGCTATATGATTGCAAATCAATCTTCAATTAGTTTGCTTCCTTTGTTATGTAATTATGTTTGCTGTACAAATAATTCTATGTTAGTTTGTTGTGGTTATAATTAATTGATAAATTGTGGGGTTCTCCAGGAAGATTATTTGAGATGCATAGCTCAAAGAATCATGAATATGGAGATGAAAGTAAGACGATCACAATCACTGCAGGCAGGGACGACACCTAGCACACAGAGGCCATCTTCCCAGCAACAAAATGTATGTACCACACCACAAAATCCAGGCCAAGTGCCAGACCAGCACAGGGCTTCTGCACCAAATTCACAGATCGAAGCTAGCCAAGAACAGACTGTGATGGTGGCAGCTCCGGATTGTTACCTCAACTTCAATACCACAGCAATTAGTCCAGTGGCAATGTGTGTCCATCCTAGCCAGCAACCTCAGAGTCAACAACACCAACAACAGGCCAAGCAACTACACCCCACAAACGTTGTCGGATACAACCCAACTAGCTTGAATCAGATTCAAGGACAATCAGTTAGTGGACAAAATTTTCAGCAGAATCATGTACTAGGGCAGAATGCCAGTGGCAGTGGTACACAACAGAGGCAACTAGTTGAGACACCGGAGCAGCACCAGCTGTTGAGGATGAAGCAGCAACATATGAGGGGAAACCAGCAGCAGAATTTCACCCAGAGAAACCAAATTCTTCCAGCACAGCAGGCCCATCTTGGCAAGATGCAGATTGGTCATCCTGCAGTACAGAACAATCAGCAGAATGTTGGAATGTCATGTCAGCATATGACTCCGCCTCAATGTCAAGTTGCCACAGCTCAACAAAGCAGTCTTGGTTGTGATAGCCCTCAAACTTTAGGTACTTAACTTTCTGAGAACATTTTAATGAACAATGGACTGTGAACACCATAAGTCCATAACACTTGGCTCAAAGCTATATTTTTATTTGTTTTTCACCGGATTTTCATATTCTGTTTGTCACTCTCAGAACCGATCGTAATTGCCGGAGAAGTGGATTGGAGGGAAGAAATATTTCAGAAGGTGAGGAACTGAGGATCCTCTATTTACATATTTGGGTCATCCACTGTACAAGTATCACTAGCTATTCCATGATCGACCCGTTAGGTTTAATCCCATATAGTCATGATTTTGAAAATTTTTGTTTTCTTCATCTACAGATCAAGTCATTCAAGGATGCATACCTTTCCGAAGTTTTGGAATATGATCAAATCGTTCATGTTCCGAAGTTAACAGAGGTCTTCTGCCCTTCTCATTTTCAATTCTGCTCCTGCAAACAATTCTTCTTCAATTCAATCCCTTGTTATTTCTCGTGCATAGATCTCTTATATCGTCCGTTTCATTGTCATGTAGGAGCAACTCCGTTCATTACCTGTTGAGAATGCTGAGAAATTGAGGCGTATAAGACATGTCAAGAAAATTATCGCAATAATGCTAGACTTGTTGAATACCCAGAAAAGCAACGTGCGCAAGGGTATGCAGAATATATTCCCCATATTCCAGCAGTACCTGGGGCAATTGCGACTTTCCATATCAAAAAGTAAAGCTCGGAAGACAGTGGCAAAAATAGGGTGTCAGTCGCAGAATTGCAGTGAGAATTCTCATATCGTCAATCTTGGTAGCAATACAGCCCCATTCACTTGTGATGCAAGGTTAGTAGAAGCTAATTGTTCAAAGTTTCAATTTGACACATTCCTGAAAGTGTACTTCACATTTATTTCAGAACATGTTGATGCAAAACATAGTGAAAAATAAGTTAGAATTAAATGACAACTGAAAGTGTAACTTCACATTGTGTTTGATAGTATAAATCCCAAAAAGTTGTTAATGATTATATATCCACTCATTCTTTTCATAGGAGATAAATATGTGTAATACATTTATTATATCTTTTTTTTTTTTGCAGTAGACAGCAAAAACAGCAAGAGCAAGTTATCAGTGCTAAAACTTCCAGGATGGAGCAAGCAATCATGACCCGAACTCCCACACCTCAACAAGAAAGTCATGGCTGCCACCTACTAGGAGTACCAAGCTCTTGTTTCTCACCAAAAGCACTGCAACCTTCCTCAACCAATACTATTGAGGAGTGCTTCACCCCATCCCCGGTAACCCAGACAGTTCAACCAATTCAAGTAGCTTCACCCCATGTTACTTCACCCAGTGCTTATGGAAAATCATCTGTTCCAAAGCCTAGTGTTGCACGAGTTGTTTCACACTCTGCTTCGATAAAGTCAAGATTGGCATCATCCCCTAGCAGGCCAGAAGGTGCGCATGCTGCCTCGCCCAATATTACTTCAGTTGAATCCACATTGCCAACTCCTATTGCCAAGCCAGGGACTGTACGAGCTGCCTCACCTTGCACTCCAGTCAAATCCACATCGCAATCGCAGCTTAGCAAGCCAGCAGTTACAGAAGTTGATTCATGCCGTGCTTGTGTGACATCTAAACTGAAATCTCCTGTTGGCAAGCCAGAGACTGCAGGAGCTGCTTCACCATGTGCTTCTGTGAAGTCCACAGTGTCACTGGACGTTGACAGTGTTACTGAATTCTTGCAGCACCGTGTTGTAGCACCTACAGTAGCAAATGGTGGTTCTTCTAACCAGGCAATTCATACTCTGGTATCAGCAGCGCCACCTAAAGCTGCTCATCAAGCAGATGATCAGGTGCAAAACGGAGCTGAAGAAATGGAAGCCAAAAAGCCCTTCAGCCGCCTAATTGAAACAGTAAGTCTACCAGATTGCTCATCTCAACCAGAATTGATGCTTATGTTGTGAAATCTCCTACTAGCAGTGTTGTGCTTTGTCCCTCTATCTGTCTTTCAGCTCCTGTCTTCATCACCGGAAGCACTCCTCCACTCATCTAATTCCATGAGATTGGCTATCTGGGAGGCTGACCGAATACCAGCACCATCACCACTACCATACCGACCAAGGAACGGTAAAATGAAGCGTGACTTTGATCATGTGACATCACGTCCTATCTCATCACCATTGAGAAGCATGGATGAGAGTTGCATGACTTATGAGTGTGTTGCGTTCGAGGATGAATCGAGTGGGGAATATAATGCGAAGAGGCAGAAAACACAAGTGGTATGATATGGCTGGCCATTACTATTTTGTCTGAAATGGCAAATCCATTGTTATATGTTACCTTGTCTATCTGTTGGAACATAATTTTCTTCTAGTTAAAACCACATTGAAATCTAATAATGCACTCTAAACCTTGACTTGCAGAATGCCAACGATGCTCTGGTGGACGAGATAAAAACTATCAACAACAAACTAGTTGATACTGTGATGAACTTTGCTGATGAAAATGGGACAGATGAAATCATTTATCAGAACGGTGGCGGGATGTTGATCAAACTCTCTTACATTTCCATGTCGCTTTCGCCAAGCCTGAAATCTCTTTTCGCAGCATCTGAAATGGTATCTTTGATTATATTCTCGTAGAACCTTTCTGCATCCTATTTACCACATTGCACCACAAATCTCCCAATGTTACTGACTGATCATTTCTCTTAATTCATGCAGACCATTGTCATGCCCGTGAAGCTGTTGGTCCCCGCGGATTATCCGAAAAGCTCTCCGATCCTTGTCGACAATGACGATGAACAGAGGTAATTTGTGTCTGCTGATGCTTTCTTCTATCATCAGTTTGTCCCTGCCTGTGCTTGCTTCACTTGCTGTAACAATGGTCGTCATCTGTACTGCAGGAGGTTGAGTGACATCTCGTACGCGGTCGCAGTGGCATTTGGGTGCGCCGTCGACGAGTTGCCGGAGCCGCGGTCGATCGAGGCGATGGCCATGGCGTGGGATGGCTGCGTGCGGCGGGCCGTCACCGAGGTGGCGCATCGGCACGGCGGAGGAACGTTCAGCTCGAGGCACAACCAGTGGAGGGCCGGGTACCTGCATGGGCCCATGATGAGCCTGTAGCACTTGCTCCATCTCTACCATGTTCGTTGTAGACTTTGTTGTAGTGTGTATGGTCAGATTTAAGTTATATCGATGTATACCGGTTATTTACTCCCGGAAATTCCATTATAGAAGACAAAATTGCATATGTATACAGCGGGAACAAATGAGGCAGAATCACCAATACATGTTTGTATTTCAATTAGGTGTCTTGTAGGAATATCATATAATATGCCTTTGTATGTTACTGACATTAAAGTTTATTGTCAGTAGTACTAAGCTGTATGCACAAAACAGTTTAATCAAAAAGCTTGAATTGGTGAGTAAACACGGTCATTTCACTCTTCCAACACTCCCCTGAAATAAGGCTTCCTGAAACCTCTAGTGTGGATTAGAAGTAGCCTACAAATTTTTTGTCCAAATGTGTGCTAGACTGGATTTGAACTCAAGATCTTTTATTCTGGTACCAGATCGGCTCAGGTGCAGGAAGCCCTACAGATAGTAAAATGTAGGGCAAATAAAAATGTGACACCTGTCCGGGTTAGGCCCACCCAATCCTTCCCAAAACAAACATTTAATCGTGAGTACGTGATCGTTGAAAATTGGCTAACAGAATGATGAAAATCAGCTAACAGAATGATGTACCCGTGGAAATACCTGACTCGCCATATCTCTTTGCCGCGAACGCATAGTTCTCGCCTCAGTCCTCACTACCGCCTATTCCTCTCTAGAAGAAAGAAAAGCAAAAGATGAGCGATCAACAACAAGAGGAAGATCTAGAAGAAAAGCAAAAGATGGGCGATCAACAACAAGAGGAAGATCAGAATCCTCGTGAAGCTGAAATGATTGAAGAAGCTCCAGTCCAGCTTTTTTCTATAACACAGAGTATGTACTTTTCCAAATCTCTGCCATGCCATTATATCATAATTCTTATTACAGCAGATTGGTTGCAAACATGAATAATCGGTAGAATTATGTTTTTCCTGCATAAAACTAGCGCTAACACAATAATGAATATGTTACTTCTTGGTTATGTAGATCAAGAAATGAGAGATGTCGAAGACACAAATAGAAACACCACTAATGATTATTGTGTCAAAAGGTTAGAGCCAGTAATTGGCATGGAATTTGATAATGAAGATATAGCATATGAGTTCTACAACAGGTATGCAGGAGATATTTGCTTTAGTATTAGAAAATTTTGGCATAATAAATCTTTAACAAATGTGATTTGCACGAAAGAATTTGTATGCTCAAGGGAAGGTTTCAATAAGAGGAATCCTTCGGATGCATGCCAGTGAAAGTGAGCTGATACAAGAGTTGGTTGTATGGCAGAGATGGTCATCAAGATCACTCCAACCGGGAAATATGCTATTGCTAGCTTTTCAAACACGCATAATCATGAACTCATAACTCCAAGCAAGACACATTTTTTGCATTCTCAGAGAAGAATGACAGAAGCTCAAAAGGCTCAAATTGACATCTTAAATGATTTAGGTGTTAGACCCAAACTGGGCCATGAGGTGACAACAAAGTCTTACATTCACAAGAAAAGATTATAAAAACTATCTCCAATCAAAGCATATGAAATCAATCCAAGAAGGAGATACAAGTGCCGTTCTTCAGTACCTACAGGAGAAGCAAATGGAAAATCCTTCATTCTTCTATGCAATACAAGTTGATGAACATGAGATGATGACAAATATATCTTGGGCAGATGCAAGATCAATATTGGATTTCGATTTTTTTGGTGATGTGGTATGCTTTGACACCACATACATAACAAATAATTACGGCAGACCATTTGCTCTTTTTGTAAGTGTCAACCATCATAAACAAACAGTTGTTTTTTGGAACAGCATTGTTATACAATGAAACAACGGCAACATTTGAATGGTTGTTTCAGACTTTCAAAAGAGCCATGTCAGGCAAAGAGCCAAAAACAATATTAACTGATCAATGTGCAGCCATTATCAATGCTATTGGAACAATTTTTCCTAATTCAACCCACCGTTTGTGTGTTTGGCACATATATCAGAATGTTGCGGTGCATTTGAGCCACGTTTTCCAAGGTTCAAAGATATTTAAGAAATATTATAGCAAGTGCGTTTTTGATTTTGAAGAAGTTCATGAGTTCATAACAGCATGGAAGAAAATGATAGAGTACAAATTGAGTGATAACGAATGGTTACATCATTTGTTTGAGAACAAGGAGAAGTGGGCTTTGGTTTATGGTCAGCAAACATTCTGTGCAGATATGATATGTACACAAAAAAGTGAGAGTCTCAATGCACTAATGAAAAGATACTTACAGGTGCGGCTTAATCTATTAGAGTTTTTCAAGCATTTTGAAAGAGCAATAGGGGATAGAACGCATGCTGAACTACAGCGCGATTCCTACGCAAGCCAAACATCTCCAAGACTGCCAAAAGTGTGTATGCTGATACAGGCTTCAAATGCATATACACCTGCCTTTTTTAAAATTTTCAGAGAAGAATATGATATGGTGATGGGATGTTGTTTGTACAACAACAATCATACCTTAACAATTTCTGAATACAAGGTTATTGATTCAGCTAAGCATTGAGAACACAGTTTCTTGGTGAAGTTTGATTCAGCTAAGTTTCTTGCTCATGCAAAAAGTTTGAATTTGTGGGGATACTATGCCGCCACACATTGAAAGTGTTGGACCATAACAACATCAAGGAGCTGCCATCCCATTACATCTTGAAGAGATGGACAAGGCATGCAACAAATATAGGTACGTCACAGGCTAATCAAAAGTGTTGAATGCTTGAAAAACTTATACTGAGCCGAACTGGTGCTTGCTGCGTGGGGATGGAGGGAGTGGGATTAGGTTGGTTGCTATATGGGTTGTGATGGGTTTACTGTTGGACTGAAAGACCGGAGCTGGGAAAGGTCACGTATGGGGCTGGGCCAGGACGAGTAGGGCTGGACCATGGGAGGTTGAGAAAATCTGAAAAATATATAGGGCTCGGGCCCAAGCAGCCACCTAAGAATCTCTAGATCTTCACCTCAGTAGGTGAGCAGGTCAGCCATGAAAGCCAGTATCGACCATACCTGCCCGCAGGTACAGATCGACTTGATTACCTAGCCGGATGCAGAGGTGGCGGATCGTGACGGTGTGCTGCATGGGTGTCAGCACTGGCCACCCGGCGTACGGTGTCCCTCAGCCTCATATCGGTGCGGCAAAATCCCTGCTCGTATCGGCCTCGTGTTTGGAACGTGAACCGTCGGACTCTACGGCGCGCACATGTCACAGATTGGGCCTACTCTTTAACAGATAGGAGTGGGCCTGTGGATTTTGGGGGCCTAGAGCAACCCCTCCCCCCTCCCCAGGGCCGGGCCTGCGCACTCAGAAATGGTTGTGGTAGGAAATGGGTTGAAAGGATGGAAAAGGAAAGAAATAAAGGGCAATGAAGCGATATGTCTGTACGTGTAGCTGTGGACTATAATACAGAGAGTAGGTTCCCTGAGCACATGACGAGATACTATTCTTTGAAGTTAACAGCCAACGGAATATACACGGTGAAGTCGGCCTACATACTACAGTTTCTAGGGGTAGAAACAACGATCTTCAACTAGATAATCTAGAAGTATTGGGCTTTGCTGAAATGCAAATTCCTCTCTTGGTTAATCATTCAGAATAGAGTATGGATGACTGATAGACTGCAGAAGAGAGGATAGGCAAATCGGCGGATCTGCTCACTGGGTCACGCTTCACCGGAGACAGCTTTGCACTTGTTGGCAAGATGTATGGTTTTGAATAGGATCTAGGTGTAGAGATGACATTGGATTGGTCCCAACCTAAGGACGCACGAGTGGAATGACTGTGCATCAGTGGAAGAGTACATGGTGGTATCGATTCACCTGAATACCACATAACCCAAGAAAGCCTCTGCAGTCGGTGATCATTCTGGTCGCTTGGGAACTCTGCTATCAGAGAAACGCTCGGGTCTTCCACCACATCGCCACTACGCTAGCCACCATCATTGACAAGATAAAGGAGGAGACACATGCCTGGATCAAGGTGGGAGTTGTCAAGCTCACAGAGATCATTCACTCGGGAGAATAGTGCACCCGTGACCTAGTTTGGCGGACCACGGTTTTTGCCGAGGCTCTACAAATATTTTGTGCTTTGGTTTTTGCTCCTTCTCTATCAATATAAAAAAAAGGCAAAGGTTTTACCTTCCTTTCAAAATAAATAGAGGACACGCACGCAGGTTAGAAAAATGCGAACTTAAGATGTGCACGTGCATCGGACTCTTCCCGCTGAGACTTTGGTAACCTTCCTATAGTGCACTAACCACCAACTTCAATAACAACGAGGTCCCTCACACCTTCTTTCTTCGATATGGACATGGCTTGATTAGCGTAAACTTTCGGCGAGTACTCATATGTACTCTAAAAGCCCAAGTGGAAGCCACGTTTTGGAAGCTCAAGTCATCTAGGGTGGGGGATAGGGTGGTAGTGGGACGGGATTTGGGGGGAGGGGGAGTGCAACACGGGATTTTTCTTGGGCTTAGAGAGATAGTACGGAAGAAAGTGACTCGGATGGGTGGCAGACACATGCAAGCGGTGATGGCACTGTCGATGATGCATGGTTGGAAGATAGCATGAGCAGTGGGAGTGGTGGATTCGGTGATGGAAGTTGTTGCTGCAAATGTTAATTGGATCCGGATTGAGAAAAGGAGGAAGGGTTAGGGGTATTGCATTAATTTTTTAGAAAAGGATGGCTATGTAACATGTGACAGAATAACCAACGTCACCGTACGTGTTTTCTAGACCATTACTTGGATTCGGTTTGAGAGTCATCCAACCCTCTTCAACCTAAGTTTCCTTACTCGCCATCCTCCTTATTCTATTCATGTGATGCTTATTCCCCATTTCCCAATATCTCCGACTTCCTCCTTCACCGATCGCTGCTAGCTACCACCGCCACCCCATGCCAGCGCCCGGCCTTGTCGTCATCGGTGAGACTTGCTGCTTGGCCTCCTCCTCCTCCATCTTGTCCAAGTGGGCGTTGACGAATTCCCCCGCTCCGCCGTCTTTCCCATCTCCGGCAGCACCCCCACTGCCAGCCTCCATATCCCCGCAACTTCACTAGTGCCACTACCGACTCACCGTCCGTTCATTCCATCACCCACCAACAACATCGTCCTCTATGGGCCAATGACTCCCCTTCTCTGATCTTCTTCTGGTCCGTGTACCACCATCTTGCCTGAGCTGGAGGAAAAGGACATCATGAATCATGATGTGAATCCAATGCTGGAGGATTCCACTGAAATCCACCTCATTTTTCCATCAAAGTGATAGCAATTCCATAAAAACAATCCAACTATCAATAGTGTATACTCCCTCCGTCCCAAAAAAAGACAAACCGGGGTTCCGGGGTACAACGTTTGACCGTCCGTCTTATTTGAAAAAATTATGAAAAAAATTAAAAATATAAGTCACGCATAAAGTATTAATCATGTTTTATCATCTAACAACAATGAAAATATTAATTATAAAAAAATTTCATATAAGACGGACAGTCAAACGTTGGCACGGGAACCCACGGTTTGCCTTTTTTTGGGACGGAGGGAGTATGCATGTATTCCACTCTTTTTCTAGACTAGTGCTATGCCCCATGCAATGCAACAGGATTTGGAGTAATACGGGTTGGGAGGGGTAGGCCGGTTCAATTTTTTCCTAGGTAGGAGGGGTGGGCCTGCTCGGTTTATTATACGATTTTCTCGTACTGTGTGCAGTACGGAGGGAGGTGGATGACTATGTTTTCAAAGTAGTATAGATGTGTAGACGACATAGCATATTACTCTCTCTGTATTTTAATATACGATACCGTTGATTTTTTGACAAACTTTTGACCATTCGTTTTATTAAAAAAATTCATGTAGTTATCATTTATTTTATTGTAACTTGATTTATAATCGAATGTTCTGTAAGAATGACATAAATATTTTTATATTTGAACAAAAATTTTAAATAAAACGAATGATCAAAAGTTAGTCAACAAATCAACAGCGTCACACATTAAAATACTACGGAGGGAGTACCAGTGTACTGTACTTATGAAGCACACACTGTGTAGCAATTATTAGACGTACATAGTTCATACAGTATATATATGATTGATGGAGCCTGGTTATCCCCCGAAGGCAGTAAGGCCGCAGCATAGATGATCGGCTGGCTAGTTGCACTAATGGATGGAGAAGGTTGACCGATACTCAGAAAAGGTAAAATCATGAGAATTGCACAAGATTGATTAAATATGAACAAGGATAAGAGAAATTACTTACTTGAGGGCTGATAGATGGATTGATGCTAGTAAGATAAAATTCGGCCGACAGATGAAATATATGCTTCTTCCATTCATTCCACCAATGTTCATTAGTCAAGTTGCATAACAGAGTGGGTGTAATCCTTTCTATTTCACCTAGGGGTGGACCTTCGAGGTTAATAACCTTGTCCATGAGCAATGCTGATGTTACTATACCCCTGGTTTGAATTCTAGTAGAAAAGTACAAACTAAATGGGAGCTGGCCCATTCCTAATTGCCTAGCTAGCAGCCATCATGGGATGATAGAATTCATAAGAATTTTGTGTGAATCGGCGTTGAGATATGTGTTAACAATGGAATTTTGCATCAGATTCGAAGAAGGAAGAACAAGATCGAAGCGGATTTGGTGTGGAATCAAGTTGATCTTTAGGTCGGACTGCGCATCGGCTAGACACCGTATCGGCTGGAAATAGAGCTTAAGTCGATAAAGGTTAATAAGGATGATGGCCGATATGATATAACTTGGCATCGGCATGGGCTTAGATTAGAGTAACCGTCATTGCCAATTAGAGATAAAGCTCGAATAAGGCAATTGTATCTATTAATTAGGATATTTAAGTCAGTTTTGTTAGATTTGGAAAGAGGCCACCGTGTATGGTCTTATTTGTATTTTATCTTTAGAAAGGGTTGAGTCATGTTCATAATGGACAAAGTTGTACGGTTCAGTTTTTACTAGGTAGGAGGGGTGGGACGGCTCGGTTTATTACATGATTTTCTCGTACTGTGTGCGGTACGGAGTGAGGAGGATGACTATGTTTTCAAAGTAGTATAGATGTGTAGACGTTGCGGCACATAGCATATTACTCTCTCTTTATTCTCTCTCTTTATTTTAATGTATGACGCCGTTGACTTTTTTATAAACGTTTGACCATTCGTTTTGTTAAAAAAATTCATGTAATTATCATTTATTTTATTGTGACTTTATTTATAATTAAATGTTCTTTAAGAAAGAAATTAATATTTTTATATTCGTATAAAAATTTTGGAGGGAGTACTAGTTTACTACTGTACTGTATGTACGCAATTATTAGACGTACTCACGTACATAGTCCATAGAGTATACTAGTATATATGATTGAGCATCACGTACATAGATGCCGCAGTGTGTCACGCGGACGTGCCTCGCGGCGTAGCGCGCGCCCGGAGCGGCGTCCGCATCATCTTGAAGAAGCCGTTCACCTCCGTCAAGTCCACACCGCCGGTCGCCGCCACCGCCGTCGGAGCCCACTCAAACTCGCGCACCAGCGCCGCCACCAAGAGGCAGGCGTGCGCCACCCCGAGCCCCATGCCGGGGCAATACCTCCGCCCCGCGCCGAACGGCATCATCCTCACCTCCCTCGGCCCCGGCAGCGGGCCCACCCCCTCCGCCTCGCCGCCGGCCATGAACCTCTCCGGCCGGAACTCGTCGGGATCCGTCCACGCCTTGCCGTCCCGCCCAATGTCCCCGAGGATGAAGTGCACCCGCGCGCCGCCGTCCGGCAGGGAAAGGTGTTCGACCGCCTGCGGCGAGCGGACGTCGCGCATGGTCAGCGGCACCGGCGGGTGCATGCGGAGGCTCTCGAGGATCACGGCGCGGAGGTACGCCGGCGTGGTGCCGCGCTCGCCGCCGTGGTGGTCGGCGGCGGCGACGACCTGGCGGCACAGCTTGTCCTGGATTTCCGGCTCGATGACGAGGTGCGCGAGGGTCCACTCGACGCACGACACGACAGTCTCCGTGCCGCCGCTGAGGAACTCCGCCACGAGGCCCACCATCTCGTCGTCGGTGAGTGCACGGCCGGAGTTGCGCCCTTCGTTGTCCTCGCAGCCGGCGGCGTCGGCGTCGGCGTCGTGTCCGACAGGGACGCGCAGGTCGAGCAGCGAGTCGACGTAAGGACGGAACACGCCGCCGTCGGCGTCGCGATGCTGTGTTCGCCGCCGTTGGGCGATGAGTGGGAGGAAAATCTCGGCCCGCCGGCGGCCGGATGCGATGAAGCGGCGCAGCCGCCACCAGTGCACGAGGTTCGCCAGCATCGAGCCACTGAAGCCCTTGACCACGACGTCGAGCTTCAACTCCTGCATCACGCGCCGTAGGTCGCGCACATGGCGCTCGTCGATGTCGTCGCCGAAGCAGAAGCGCACGGCCAGCGGGAACAAGGCGTCGTGGACGACGTCGCGGACGCCCACCTCGCCGCCGTCGGCACCACGGGCGGCGATGTCGGCGACGAGGGCGTCGACGGCCTTCTGCTGCAGCGGCGCGAGGAGGCCGACGCGCGACGGGCGGAGGAATCCGGCGGTGAGGTTGCGCCAGAGCACGCGCCACTGCGGGCCGTAGCGCACGGTGGTGAGATTGTCGCTCCGGCGGCCGCGGGGCTCCGCGCCGATGGCCGGGCGGTTGACGAATGCGTCGGCGTGGTCGAGGAGTGCGCGGCGGGCGACGTCGCCGTCGTGGATCTCAACGGTTGGCTGCCGAAGGGATACCGGAGCACGGCGGGCACGGCTAGTCGTTCGCCGGAAGACGGCGAGGCATAAGAAGAGAGTAAGGACGAGGAGGAGAGTAAGAAGCAGCATCATATGTCTATGGTTTTTCTTGCTACTGTCACTTGGCACTAGGAATTGAGTGTATGCGCGCACATATATATAATTGCAAACTCAGTTTGTTTGCATATCATTCAAATAAATAGTTACAAAAAGTTTGAAAATATATCAATAAAATAGATTAACCAGAAATGATTGTGGCGACAATATGGCTGGGCCTCGTTCTTTGCTTCTACTTGAAACTACAGCTTAGTCGTTTTCCGCTAGCATATTTTTAAATTGTTAAATGGTGTGATGAAAGAACTTTTATATAAAAGATCCGTTAAAAAATAATCAAATAATCACATTTTCAAAGTTTGTACTAACAATTAATCCTATACATATATAAGTGAGGAAGTGTAGTTATTACCAATTCTTTGTATTCTCATGCTTTCACCTCATCACATTTTCTGTCAGCCGTTAGATCCGAATCAATCCAACCAGATCGCTTAATTACTACTTCCTTCGTCTCAGATTTTTAGTTTTAGCTTACAACGTTTGACCACTCGTCTTATTCATTTTTTTTTTGCTCACAAGGAACACACGTTGGGTGCAAGCCCAGCCTCCTCCATCCATCCACATCGCACCACCGCATCGCCTTCCCCCGCGCCCCACGCATCACCATGCATTAATATTGTACTTCCTCCGTATTTTAATGTATGACGCCATTGACTTTTCGACTAACGTTTGACAATTAGTTTTATTCAAATTTTTTGTGTAAATATAAAAATACTTATGTCATGCTTAAAGAATATTTGATGATGAATCAAGTCACATTAAAATAAATAATAATGACATAAATTTTTTGAATAAGACGAATGATCAAATGTTGGACAAAAAGTCAACGGCGTCATACATTAAAATATAGAGGTAGTATTAATCCCTTGTATAAGTACATACTACTTTATAATCGGCCTTCGCCATGCGACCCTGTTTAGATGGGACTAAAACTTTTAAGTCTCTATCACATCGGATGTTTAGACACTAATTATAAATATTAAATATAGACTATTAATAAAACCCATCCATAATCTTGGACTAATTCGCGAGACGAATCTGTTGAGCCTAATTAATCCATGATTAGCCTATGTGATGCTGCAGTAAACATTCTCTAATTATGGATTAATTAGGCTTAAAAAATTTATCTCACAAATTAGCTTTCATTTATGTAATTAGTTTTGTAAGTAGTCTATATTTAATATTCTAAATTAGTGTCTAAATATAGAGACTAAAGTTAAGTCCCTGTATCCAAACACCACATGCATCTCTAATTCACTCTTTGTATTCGTTGCAGGATCATCCGCTTGCAAATCATTTGCCGACAGTCTGATGGAGCAAACCACTGGAATCGGCCGTCGTTTGCTCCAATCGCGCTGAATTTTTCCTTGAGTATGCTGGAGTCAGGCCCTTATAAAAATTAAGATAATCAAGGTATAATACCCCACCTAAGTGCTTCCTGTATCTATGATATATATACCTCATGTTGAATTCTTTATTGATTTGATTTATCCTCATGCCCGATGGTCATACCTGAACGGCCATGCTGAGCTGCTCGCAAGCGTACATGTAATGTCAAGCAAAATCCAAATCATCCATGCATCCATGTGTGTGGTAAATGGTAGCAAAGATCAATATTCTACCTTGGCCTAGGTAGTATATATCTTAACTTTTATCATCTCTGAGAGCAATTTGATGATTTCCTGCTGCCCTGAATCCTCGAGGAATTTCATCTCTTATGAGTATTCTTGCATATAGAGAATAATTCTTCGATGACTTTATTCCAAGTTCCTACAAGGGAAATGTGTTGTTTATTTATTCACTGTGCATATATCAGTTATAGCAAATGTATTCGTACGATAATAATCCATATCAGTGATGTTTGCAGACTTCATATTGCAACTTATATTGTTATTTCTTCAGCTAATTAGTTTCGTAGTTATTTTCATGCTACTGCATGTTTGAGGGGGAAGATATCACCCAGCAACAGTATCGAGAGTATTATATTTAAATGGACCACTTATGCACTCCAAAAAGATGTATATATAGGATCGAAACTGTGGTATGTATCAAGAATAGCAACACAAATTAGAATCCTCCAGATCACTAATACTGTTTTCTTAACATAAGAAATTTCTTCCAACATATTAATTTACCAGTTTTTTTTCTTAATGCAACTTATAATTTTCATCATGCTTCCTTGCATATATAATTAGCCAAAAATTTCAGCAGCCACGCGCAGGATATTTTCTAGTTTATTATATACTAGTAATAGCTTACTTCGTTTTGCATGCCGTTGAAAAGTCAAATTGGGTTGGCGATTCAACCGGCCCTTAGAAAAGAAAAGCATTAGCGCCTAACATGTAGTGGGAAGCAGCGATGATATATATGAGCGTATGTACGATGGGATATTTATTAGACTGCTCGACAGAGTACCAATTTGTAAATTGAGCAAGGCAACAGTGGAGTAGGTGCTTGATGATCGACATGAGATATGACAACATGGATGATATAAGTGTACGATCATATACTTCCTCTATCCCTAAATGTTTGACGCTGTTGACTTTTTTAAACATGTTTGACTGTTCGTCTTATTACAAAAAATTAAGTAATTATTAATTCTTTTCTTATCATTTGATTCATTGTTATATATACTTTTATGTATACATATAGTTTTACATATTTCACAAAAAATTTTGAATAAGACGAACGGTCAAATATGTTTAAAAAAATCAACGGCGTCAAACATTTAGGAAAGAAGGGGGTATATATATAGTTCCGAAATTAAAGTGGAAGCAGGTGCATCCAATATTACTACAAATATATAAGGTCATATATGAGCTGTGCTGAAAACGACGAATGAGTAGATCACACGTGTACAGATGGCTTGCTCACGTACGTCACCAGCCACTACCGAAGAAATCGTTTTTACATACCGGGAGAAGTGATTGTTACATGCGACCAACACAACCGTACGCGGCAATACGTCTGTGAAAAAAATTATAATTTCACATGCGGGTAGCCAATTTGCATGCGGTCACTTGTATCGTCCGCATATGAAAATAAATTCAGCGAAAATAATAAAAATAAAAATACCCCAAATCGTAGGCTGCCGCCGTCGTTGGCTAGATCCGCGCCCCCTGCCATCGGAGCGCCGGATCCACCACCCCCACCGTCCACCGTCGTCGCCAAGCCGGATCCGCCGCACCCACCGCCTGCCGTCGTCACTGGCGCCGGATCCTCGTGAGGGAAGGTCTCTGGCACCGGATCCACGCGGGCGATGCCGCCCAAGGCGCCATCACCAGCCACCGCCCGCTCCCGGCTGTCGCCCACCGCCGCTAGCTCTCGCTTGAAGGAGGAGAGGAGAGGAGAGAAAGAGAGAGCAAAATATCAGGAAAGGGAGAAAGAGGACAGCTAGAGGTGAAAAAAAAAATTTAAGGTGGTGAGGAGGAAAAATGTGAAGAAGAGAAAAGATATTTGCATCTGGACCACTTAAGAGACCCATATGCAAAAATATATTTTCGCATGCGGCCCCTCAAGAGGACTACATGCAAAAATAAAATCATTCTTTCATGCGGCCTCTTAAGAGACCCGTCTACGAAAATATATTTTTCCATGTGGGTCATTTAAGGAGCTGCTTGCGAAAATAGAGGTTAATTTTTGCAAACGATTCGGGTACTCGTATCGAAAATTCGTTTTTATTATTAAGCAGAGAGCCTGAGATCATTTCATTTTTCATGGATGAATATTTGAGTGGCTAATTAGATGTACCAAATTAAGTTCACGGTTAGTAATGCCAGGCCGGCAAAGTTAGTTAAAATTTTAAACTAACAAGTATTCTCTCCGGACTGATAATACTGGTTGTTCTTGATACGGGTGAGGTTAAAATTTAAAGTGTTTGACTATGAAGAATTTATAAATACTTGTATTAAAATGTGGATACTCTAGGAATAGACTGTACTTCAATAAAATCATATATTTGGGATGGGGCTAAATTTTTACCCGTGGGTCTTACGGAGCGGGGCCCCGAATTTAGGCGAGGGCGGGGCCAGGGTGGGATCTTCACTCGTGGGTCACCCGTGGGGCCCTGAAATTGAGCAGCCCACTAGCTATCACTTATCAAAAACCATAAAAGGAAGCCCAAGTACTACAAGCCAGCAAAAGCCCATGACGTACTAGCAGCCATCAAAAGCCAATAAGAAAGGATCTTTTGCAGCCCACTTTACAGGATATATAAGTTGGTCGGTCAATACAAACCCTAACTCATCACCACCAACAGAATCGAGACTTCCTGGCGGCGGCAGTAGCACAATCATGCGAGGCAGCGATTCACGCGCGCCGGCCTATGCCAGCCCGCCTCTAGAGCCAACTGCCCCGGATTGAGATCCTCTGCAGTCATACCGTGCCAGCGATAAAGGCACGGTGTAGTCGACTGTAGAGGATCCTGGTCCTAACTGCCTCACGCTGTCGTTCTTGGCTGCATCCACTGCGCATCGTGCTTTCCATCCTGCCGACAGTCAGCGCCCTGCGTCGTTCCCGTCCCTCTCTGGCCACCTCCCACACTGTCTCTCCCTCTTCCTCCAGCTGTAGCTGCCCAGCTGCCCCATGCTATTCTCCTCTTCTTTCGGCTGTTGGGAGCAGGGTTAAAAATTTCGGACCATTTTAGAAATTTCTGTCATTTCAGTCCCCTCCGATACGATATTACTTCAGATGAAATTTTTCAAATTTTCAAATTTTTTTTCATGAATTTTGATAATATTTGTTCAAATTGAACTAAATTTTGTTTGAAAATTTCGGACCGAAATTTCGGGATTTCAGTGACCTCCGATCAAATGGGCTAAACGGATAAAGTGAACCGTGGTTGGGAGCTGCCGCTAGACCGGGGCTGTGGTGACTTGGCAAGAGTGCGGGGCTCCGGAGGGGCGGGGATTGATTTCGCCCCGTTCCTACCTCTGGGGCCGGAGATGGGATCGGGTGAACCCGGAAGGAAGCGGGGGCGGGGCCGTTCCTGTTCAACCCGCCCCGCCCCACCCCGTTGCCATCCCTTCCACAGCGGTTACTGATGTGGCACTGACAAAATCAAGAAAAGCTGTGGGACCCACATGTCAGTGAGTGTTTGGTTTCCCTATCTCTTTCCCCTGCTCTCTCCCTTCCTCCTCTCTCGCATTGTCGGCATCATCTGTGGCAACTGTGGTACACTTGGCCCATCAAGGCGAGCGAGGGAGATGCGGCGCTAGGAGCCGAGATTGTAGGATTCCACAGCGGCGTACCCGAACCACAGCACCAGGTCAGTGTACAACACGAGCAGGCACCGCCTCGCCACGTCTAGCGCGAGGGCGAGCCGTCTCATCGTCCCCCTAGCCGCCCGGGCCGGGGTTCGCCACGAACACCCGTGCCTCCTCCCTCTCTCCCGTACCCGCGTCACCGCGGCGCACCTCGATGACACGGCCATCGGTCATGGCAGATTGGAGGTGATCTGGAACCGCCCATCCTCGGCGTCCCACCACTACCAGACGCCGTCGTGGAACCACTCGTCGCCCGCGTAAGACGGTGGTGGCACCGGACTCCAACTATGTTGACAAGCAGCGTGGCAGCGGGCTCCGACGAGCACCTAGAGACGATGAGAAGGGGACGATGAGCATCTTGGAGAGCTGAAGACGATGCGTGGCGTCGGCTGCTCCGGCCCCGCCGTCGAGGAGGTAGCAGAGGGCGTCTGCCCGAGGCAGACGGGGAGACAGCGACGGTGGAGACGGAGAGGCGACGCAGCGGGTTCGCCGTGAAGGTGTGGGCGCGGAGGTGGATGGACATGACGACGGCGGCGCTTACGCGACCAATGTCGCCGGCACGATAGCCACCACCACAAATCAAACAGCAGAACCCGAACCGGCATGATCGACAACGACAATGGGAACAACGGTGGAGGCAGCAGAGCGCAGGTGCCCACCACACCCACTACAGGATGTATGTCATTTAAAGGCATTTTGTGGAAGGCATTTCTTTAAAACTGCCTCAAATCATCTCTTTTAAAGGCAATTTTTATAAAATGCCAAAAAAGTATTCCTATACATGGCAAATTTAATTAATGCCTTCAATACTTTTATCATTAGAAGGCGTTTTAAAGAAAAATGCCTCAAAAACTATGTGCTTTCAAGGCATTTTCATTGGCGCTTTAAAAAATCTCCTATTTCAGGCGTAATCACGGAACGCCGTAAATTTTATGTTATTTGGGGGCATTTTGCAAAATCGCCAGGGCAACAGATAGAAGGCACTTTTGAGAGAAATGCCTCCTAATCTATGTCACATATGCAAAAGGAACCCTGAAAGAATTTAAGGTATAGAAATTAGTCCTTCCACCACTCAATCACCAACCACGCGTACGCTACCTTATCCGATCCCTAGCTTTCTCAGATCAGATCGAGCGAAAAAAAAATTGGAAAAGCGCGCGACTTCGATCCCGGCCGCTGCCCGGCCGGTGACTTGCCGCCGGCGACCGCCCCGCACCCCGCCCTCCCGTCGCCCGTCGCCCGTCCCGTCGTGCCGCCGTCGACGGTCGACCGGCGCCCATCGCCGCATCAGCGCATCGCGCTGCGAGCGTCCTGCGCCCCGGCCGCCCGGTGACCTCGTGGGGGTGACTCGCCGCCGGCGAGAGCCCTGCGCCCCGCCCGTCGCGCCGTGACACCGTCGACAGTCGACCGTCACCCGTTGCTCCATCGCGGCTCCACACACAAGCGCTGCGATTCCCCATCGCCGCTTCAAGCCCTAGGCCCCTACTTCGCGATCTGTCGCTGCTTCAGACAAGGACGATCGTCGGCCTACTGCAGCAAGTACAAGGTATGTTCCTATCGCTACCCACCCTTCTCACCTCAATCGTGATAGGATTTGAGAAATTTGCTTGATCTATTGGTTAGGAGATGTTTGGTGCTGTGTAGATGCTTTAGATTAGACCTGAATAGAATCTGATCTAATCATAGTGACCTCAATGGCGATTTATAGTGTGTGTTATTATTGGTTGGATCCTAGGATTCACACTGGAATTTTGGTCCTATGTGCAGAACTGAACTTTTGAAATATCAGAGTGCAAGCATTTGAATGTATAAATCCATTTGCTAGATACATATTACTGGAACTTCATTTGATATACTTTGTGCAGTTTGTAGATACATGCCTACGTATAAATTCTCTGAAATGCTCTGACATTTTTATGTAGACTTTGGCTGTAATATAAATTCTCTGAAATTTGTATGTCTTGATTCTTAAATTGCTGTGATAAGTTCTTCTTTTCTAGGAAGTACAGTACTGAATTGTGGGTTGTACAATACTTAAATTATAAAATCATCCCTAGTATATTTTTGAATTAATCCATGAGTTGTTTCGAAGAGCTGTAGCTGTACAATCTGACCTATATAGTAAAAAAATGTTCTACTCTTGATTTAGACCATATGCTCTGATATGGATGACCTAATATACTGCCTATATATGCATATAAGTTCAGAAACTTCTGTAGATTGTTCTGAAAATCTGAGATTGCAGTAGTGCTTGTTCTGAACTTTGGTTTTCAATATAGTATAAATTTGGTTTTCAATTTTTGACATTTCCCAGAACAATGGCTGTAGTATAAATTATCTGAAATGGATATTTTCAATTCTCTGAAATGGCTGTAGCACTGAAATCTGAATAGTAGGATTTGTTCTGGGTTCTCTGAAATCTGAATATATATAGCCTGCTCAAAAAAATATATAGCTTGCTCGATAGGGATTAACATGCTTATATTTACTTCAGTCTTTCCTGTAAGCAAATTTCATAACCCAAACAACCTAAGTCTTTCCTGGTCTCTACAAAATTCATAACCCAAACAACCTAAGTCTTTCCTGCTGATTTCATATGTGTTATTGCTATGCATGATATCAAGGCAAAGCCTCTTTTTAGGCTGGTTGCCTGATTGTAATGGTTTGATAAGAGTATACTGGACGTTTCTTTTTCTTTACACTTTTGTATTCTTTAACAGAGCACAAAACATAATTGGAACATCATGGATAAAGGGTGGATGAAAGCATCGAGATCTAGTATTGAATATAATATCGGGGTTAATAAATTTATAGACTTCGCCTTGTCCACTTCAGCTAGTGACAATAGGATTCTTTGCCCTTGCAAAACCTGTGGGAATAGATATTGGTTAGGTGAACATGAGGTTCGAGAGCATCTGATTTGTGATGGATTCTTGGCTGGGTACACCTCATGGATTCATCATGGAGAAAGCATGTTGAATTCCAAACCAAGTGATGCCTCAAGTTCACACTGTGAAGAACATAATGATGACATGGACCAAATGCTACTTGATGGCCTCGGGATGTATGACATTCGTACTTTAGGGACAAATGATGGACCAAATTCATAGTTTGTTACTCCAAGGTTGCAAAAATTTAGATGCTAAATATTACTCCCTCCATCTACTTTTGATAATCATATTTCATCTTGACACACAGACCAAGGATAAGTGATTCTACTTATCATTCATTTAAATATGCTACTAGTCATTCCTCGTAAACAAGCGATTCATTAATATTTACATTTCTCGATGCCCATGCAACCAATCTTGTGTGGAAGAATGAAGAGTCATGCATTAAATCCAAGAAAGTCATTAAGATGAAAAGTTGTTGGATTGAAATATGACTATCAAAAATAAAATTTTCAGATTTGGAAATATGACTATCAAAAGTAGATGGAGGGAGTATTTGTACCCAATTCTAGGTGTTAACTGCTGTTAGACACATCTCATCTGACCAAGGAGACATATCTGCACCAAGGAGACAAATACATGATCTAACATACAAGGAGAACATAGGACATGAAGATGTACATTCTAGGACAAGAAGTCTTGGAAAAGCCAGCGCTGGTTCCTTAAGTGCTATCAAGTTCAGTAATACCCAAGTTCTAACAACTTCACGGTTCTAGCTTATGAAAGTAAGTCTCCTATCCCAAGTTTGAATATCTTTTCTCAAGACCATGGCAATAACAATGATGTTTCATAATAAGAAATAGAACTACTGATTTGGATATATTATTATTTTACTAGGATTTAAGTGGATTTGTAATTGTAAAATGTAGCAACTCAATTGTTAGTTGTTTATATTTTGCAATGTAGAAGTTTTAGAAAGTTGTGAACTTACAAGTTGCAGTTAAGGTGAATAGTCATCCATGTTATTTCTTGATCTATGATTCCTTTTATGGCATATTGGCATATTATGCTCATTTGTTTCTTTCCCTTAGAACTTTTATGGACAGTTATAATTTGTGCAGATGCCTCATTTGACTTGTAAATTTAATACAGATGTGCAACTAGATGTGCAGATCTGCACTTGTATTTGCAGATAGCCTGTCTATTTCAAATGAATTCGTATGTTGCACTTGTATTACAGGCTATCTGAACATCCTACTTGATTTCGTGTTTTGCAGGTGAAGCATATTATTTTCGCTGTATGGTTTTCTTCACATGGCTTGCAAATGCAACATACCACCAATAAGAACTGGAAGCTATACTGTCAAGATTTTGTACAAAGTGCAATATAGACACTTGTGATTGTGTGATCATCATATGCTGGAGGATGAAAACAAATTGCACTTTACAGTAGCATCATGTCATTCTTGTTGATTATAGTTTTGTCCTGTGACTGAGAAATCATTGTTGTTATTAGTTTTTGATCTTAAATTTGATTTCTGTATTTGAGTTGCAATCTCATATTGGTATGCTCACAATTTGTTTGCGAGCGCATTGTGGAAAAGACCACTAATTACTAATGATGCAATGAACGCCATGGATCTTCTTGCTGGCATTTTAAAAAATGCCTCCAATCTGCTAGCTGGCATATTGAAAAATGCCTTCATATCTTCTGGGTGGCACTCTGAGAAATGCCACTGAATACCTAAGTAGGCATTTTTGGAAACGCCTCCTAAATTATCTTTGGAGGCGTTTTTTAAAACTGCCTCAAATCACTTTTCCCGTCAGTAGTATATTTGGCACTTTTTAAAATGCCTTGAAAGATCATTTGAGGCGTTTAATCAGGCATTTAAGGCGTTTTGAAATGCCTGCTAAGCTATGTCATCCTGTAGTGACCTGCATTGGCGACACAGCACCGACCACGGCCACGTTCGACGTCATCGACAGCAGCATGAACAAGGTAATCTCGCTCAATTCTCGCACCGTACTCAATCCAACCAATTTCTGCTAGCGTTTCAAGCTCAGTATGCATGTTCTAACCAGATACCTGAGCTTCACAGCTACTGAGTTTCTGGCTGGCTTCACGGCGAGCTTCAAGCCAAGCCGTGAAGCGAGCAGCCGCCCCGGGAGCTTCAAACCGACAGTGACGACATGGGCGATGACTACACCTACAACGCCGAGGCGAGGAAGATACAGTTGCAGAGGCGAGGCTTCATATCTGGTATTGCGTTTTGTGAACGAATATTACACTTGACGATAAATTGAGGGACCAAAAGTGAACTTATTCACCAACAACAAATGGACAAAACAGGCAGAGGCCCAGTTCTGACCAACGGGGATTCGACGATTCGACAGAGATGCTCTATGCTGAAATTTTTCTATTTTTATACATTTTTATTAAAATAATTCAAAATGTTTTTGTTTCAAAATTTTACAAATGCAGATGCTCACGCCCTATAGGAGGACGTTTTTTAAAAATCGCCTTTTCCCCGATAGCGTTTAGAACGTAAACGTAAAATTTTTATTTCTATTCGAGCCCTTTCCGCCGGTTTTAATTGCTTGAAAATAATAATATTTATTCAACGCTCTAAATGATTTTAAATATAAAAAATATAAATTACAAAGTTATAGATCTCGTCGAGATCTACAATTTTTATATAAATTTTATTTTTTACGATGTCTTTTAAAATGTATATTTAATATTTTGTTAAAATAGGTTTTAGATTTTGTAACGAACATATGGACATGTAAAAAATCTTAAATGAAATAGTTGTTAATTACAAAGTTGTAGAAATAGTTGTTAATTACAAGTTGTATATATCTTTTCAAGTTCTAAAACTTTGATATAAAGTTTAATTTCATCCAACTTTATATGATATATTTTTAAATTACAAAATCATTGAGTTCACATACTATATTAAAATAAAAAATTACATTTAGGTTCTTAAACGCCCTTTGCAAGGGCCTTTTTTAGAGGGCGTGAGACGTCTAAATATGAAAATTTTCAAAATGAAAAATTATTTTTTTAACAAAAGATGTAAAAATAAAAAACCTCCCCGCGCGCGTGACACACGCACAGAGTGCAGGCAGGCGGTGCCACTAGTGGGTGGTGGGAGATGCTGACACGTGTCATATCCTATGGCTGGAAATACAGCTGATATCTCAAAAAATTTCAGCAGGCTTGGCACATATATCATCCCATTATTAAAACAGAGGGAATACGATATTATTACGCGGGAGCGCGTGGTCGTGGCGTGGCGCGCGCCCGGAGCGGCGTCCGCATCACGTTGAAGAAGTCGTCCTGCTGCGTCAGGTCCACGCCGCCACCCGCCGCCGGCGTCCACTCGAACTCGCGCACCAGCGCCGCCACGAAGAGCCCGACGTGCGCCATCGCCACCCCCATGCCCGGGCACGACCTCCGCCCCGCCCCGAACGGCATCATCCTCACCTCCTTCGGCCCCGGCACCGGGCCCACTCCCTCCGCCTCGCCGCCGGCCATGAACCTCTCCGGCCGGAACTCCTTCGGATCCCTCCAAGCCTTGCTGTCCCGCCCGATGTCCCCGATCACGAAGTGCACCCGCGCGCCGCCGCCCGGCATCGGCATGGCCGCTAGCTCGTCGAGCACCGGCGGCGCCGCGCCGCCGACGACTTCTCGTATGACGAACGGCACTGGCGGGTGCAGCCGGAGGCTCTCGAGAATCACGGCGCGCATGTAGGGCGTGCGGCCGCGGTGGCGCCCATGGACGTGCTCGCCGTCGCCGACCTCGCGGCGGAGCTTGCTCTGCGCCTCCGCGTTGAGCACGAGGTGCGCGAGTGTCCACTCGATGCACGACACGACGGTCTCCGTGCTGGCGGCGAGGAACTCCATTAGGAGGCTCACCATCTCGTCATCGGTGAGCGGAGCCGGAGTGCTCTCGCCGTCTCCGGGGACGCGCAGCTCGATGAGCGCGTCGACGTACGGACGGAACGTGCCGCCGTCGTCGTCGCGGTCGCGGCGTCGAGCGGCCATCCGCCGCCGCCGCTCGTCGATGAGAGGGAGATAGAGCTCGGCCTGCCGGCGGCGGGAGGAGAGGAGGCGGCGTATCCGCCTCCAACGCCGGAGCCTCGCCAGCGCCGTCGACGTCGAGACGGGGAACACATTGTTGGCGACGCCGACGTCGAGCACAAACTCCCGGATCACGCGCCGCAGGGCGCGCACCTGGCGCTCGCCGACGCCGTCGCCGAAGCACATGCGCGCGGCGAGCCTGAACACCGCGGCGTAGGCGACGTCGCGGACGACGACCGGTACCGCACCACCGGCAGCGGACTCGGAGATGCCGGCGACGAGGTCGTCGACGGCGTCGCGTTGCAGCGGCGCTAGGAGGCCGAGGCGTGAGGGGTGAAAGATGCCGGCGGTGAGGTTGCGCCTGAGGACGCGCCAGTGCGGGCCGTACGGGACGGAGGTGAGGTTGTCGCTCCGGCGGCGGCGGCGGCCGGTGACGAGGGCGACGGGGAAGGGCAAGAACGGGCGGTTGGCGAAGACGTCGGCGTAGTCGACGAGCGCTCGGCGCGCGACGGCGGCGTCGCTGATCTCAATGGTTGGCAGCTGGACGGCCGCCGGAGCACGGGCAGCTCGCCGGAGAAGGGCGAGGCAGCAGAGGAGGGTAAAGACGAAGAGCACAAGAAGAAGCACCGACGTATCCATGGCGTTGCCACTGTCATTCAGAGTTGAGTGTGCATGCGTGTATATATATATAAGCACTGAGGCACTCAAAACGGTTTCACAACTTGTTTAAAACGTATCTATGGTATTTGTTTTATAAACTTCTCTCTTTTTGTTTAAGTAATGATCACAATGGCACAGAATAAGGTGTACAATAAGATGGATTTTGTTTTGTGCCTAAAAATATTGATTTCATATGCTTCCCATGGTCGGCATTTCTGCTCAATTGTCAAATTATTTAAATATAATTGATAGCAATAACCGGATTTTTTTAAAAAAAATCTATATATGAAAAAACTTTCACGTAAATTTTAAAACTTTTTGTTGAAAAATTAAAAGTCATACATAAAATTTAAAACTTTCTACTCAAAATTTGAAACATTAAATTCATTTTTTAAAAAAATTTCAACTCAAAATTTAACTTTCAAGTTAAATTTGAAAATTTTTGACTCAAGATTTAAACTTTGAAGTAAAATTTTGGAAACTTTTAATTCAAACTCTGAAAATTTTCAACTCGAAATTTAAATTTGTAAGACAAATTTTAAAAACTTTCAACTCCAAATTTGAAAATTTTTAATTCAGATTAAAAAACTTCCAAATCAAGATTTGTAAACTTTCAGCCTAAAGATTTAAAAACACGCGTGCTGAAGATTAAATAAATCAAAAAAAAGAGAAAAAATAAAAAGGAAAAAAACAGAAAAATCGCTAAAAAAACAACGCACAACACGGGAATGGGTGCCAGATGGCGCGTATGCGCCAGATAGCAACCCCCCTATATTAATGATACTATAGGCACATATCCTTTGCCACACATACAACAGGTGCAGTATCAGGAATATAGGTCCATAGCAAATAATTAATGGGGGTCATCTATGAGTGACCGGTATTGTAAGAGAGCTATGAGTTGGTACGCTAGCTAGGTAGCTTTGCATCGAGCAGATAAATAGGAAGAGGATTTTGATCCCTCGAGGGATATCCCCTCGTTGCTTGCATGTCACTCAAATAGTTATAACAAAATTTAAAAAAATTAAAGAAGATGTATTAATATATGATATATCACTCCACAAACATGTAAGTAAAAATTCAACTTCTACATCTCACAACAAAAAAACAAATTTGACTCTGAATATACGTTAACTAGCTGCGGTTCAATTTGTTTTTTTCGTTACGAGATGTAGAAGTTGAATTTGAATTTGCATGTTTGCGGAGTGTTATATCACATGTTAATACACCTTCCCAATTTTTTTTAATTTTTTTTATAACCATTTAAGTGACATGCAAAGAACGAGGGGATATCCCCTCGAGGGATTAAAACAGTTTCCCAGATAAATATTACTAATCGTAACCCATATCATGTATAACTAGCACTATACGATCAATTATGTTTTTCTCCACTTTTAGTTGTAAATGAAAGTTTTATCTCTTCTTCTTTTTTAGTTTATGATTCATCTTTTTTAAGTGGGGGGTGGGGGGTGTTGTGCAGCACGTGTTTACGCAAAGGAACTTGAGATCCGCAGGTGTTTATGTAAGCTTCTCGAATGTGCGCTAATATATTGGGTATGTGGTACATTAACAGGTACGGCTTGTAGGTGCTAGAATCCTGCATGTTGCTTGAACTATGATATGAACACATGCATGTGGTACTCTGATCTGCCATGCTTGCTATATGCTTTTCGATCGAATATTTCTGCAGGTTGTGCGAAATTAATGTTCGAATTGTATCGAAGTTTTGTCATACGTATTATTTTTCAAACTTTGTAAAACGTTTATTAAAATTCAGATTACATTAAATTCAATTATGTGAAAAAACAATTCGAAACAGGGCAAAGTTTATGTCAAAATCCATCGGATGTAGAAGAAACAGCCGAGCCGATCGACTGTGTAGGGTTTGGTATTTCTTACCCTGTTACTCTACCGCACACACAAGCCACAAGTAATGAAGTAATATATGACATTATGACCAGCTAAATATATAGTTTTAAATACACTAATTAGCTTATCCTAAACATCGTAATATTTAAAAACAGAGGTAACATACGGCAATTGGTGCTATGTGTGCGTGGATGGAAATTAATATATATATAGTTCGAAGACGTGTAGTGGCAGTATGAGCAGGTGCTGCAAAACGAGTACAACTAGATTCTTAAGTGTACAGTTGGCTTGCCCATGTGAGCTGTGTTCATTTTTATGGATAAATAAATTGGAGTGACTCATGCATGTATCACTCCCTCCGTTTATAAAATAGGCCGTGTTTAGTTCCCCAAATTCCCAACTTTCCATCACATCACATTACATCACATCGAAAATTTTCCTACACACATAAACTACAACTTTTTCTTCAAACTACCAACTTTCTCTAAACTTTTTAACTTTTCCACCATCTAAACCCAACCATAGTGAAGTGTAGTTGTTTCACAGTATTTTGTGCGTACTTATAAAATATAATGACATATATATTGTGTGTTAGTGGCTGATTGCAGGAAGCAGCTAAATTAGCTAGCTAGCTAGCTAGCAATGCCAATGTGCTAAGCAAGCTAATGAATTAAATATGACTCATGCATGAGTCATGCACGTAATGGCATATTCTCTCCATCCAAAAAAAAGACAAACCCTGAGTTTTCGTGTCCAACGTTTGACTGTCCGTCTTATATGAAATTTTTTTATAATTAGTATTTTCATTATTGTTAGATGATAAAATATGATTAATACTTTATGCGTGACTTGTCTTTTTAATTTTTTCTATAATTTTTTCAAATAAGACGGACGGTCAAACGTTGGACACGGAAACCCAGGGTTTGTCTTCTTTTAGACGGTTTGTCTTCTTTTAGACGGAGGGAGTATATACATGGTGGAGGAGAGGGCCACATGGGGCGCGGTGGCACTCCCTCGGTCCCTGAGCCGAAGAGCGAATGGATCTGGCGTCCGCCGAGCTCCAGGACGAAGAAAGCGCGATGCGATAGTGGCAGCTCCTAGTTTCCCTCCTTCCGTCACACCCACGCGCCGTCGTCGTCACCACCGCCTACACGATCTCATAGTCGTCATCATCGTTGTCAACCAGGTCCACAACCGGTGGCTCCGTTGAGTTCACCCACATGTCGCCGACGCTGAGCAGCACCGATCTCCATCCCACCAGTGAGGTTGAGAAGAGACGGCTGATGAGGAAGACACTACCTCTGAAACCTCAATACAATTTTCTTAATCACTTACCTCGTTTACTTGCGGATGTGAGAAATACCTTCACAAACTTACCCGGGACATCCACAATCTTGAATGAAGCTCGCGTGAGACACCTAACCGTCTAGGAGGTCTCCCTCAAACACCGGCGGATCCAGTGGGTGGTCCGGGTGAACCAAAAAATTCAGGCCTGAGGCCCAATAGACGTACCGTAAAAATGCAAAGAAAAAAAAACTGAAGAGCAAACGTCGAAGGGTCTAAGAAAAACAACGTCGTCTCTGTTTCTCTCGACGATTATGCCTCCTCGGCCTCCTATCTAGGCACCTCACCGATTGTAGAAGTGGCGGCGCATGGGGACTAGGGTTAGGACTCTTCACTCCTTCACATCCCGATGTTTCGGCGATCAAGCGCAAGGCAGCAAGGGCGGCGTGCTGGCACGGCAGCAGGCGGCGGGGTGCGGTGACGCGACCGGCGTCAGCGTGCGGGTGCGGCGACTGATGGCAGCAGCTGCGACCTGTGGCCTGCGGGCAGCAAGCAACGCAACCATGCAATCTGCAAGGAAAGGAAGACGAAGCAAGAGGGCACTAGGGCAGGTAATTGTTGATTACTGATTAGCCTAGGTGGTTTATCCTTGTACTCTTCTTTTGAATTTTGAATTTTCAACTTCACCCCTTGTCATCTCAAATTAAAATTTGTTGTTTGTTTCTACTCAAGTGGATCTAATTGATATATATAGCTGATAATCCTAGAATTTTTTGAAATTTAGGTCGGACCACTCATATTCTAAATCCTAGATCCGCCACTGCCCTCGAAAGTAATAAGCTTCAAATCGCAACCCATGAGAAACCCCAAGTGCTCAAACCTTCCTAACCTTCAAGACTTTCTCTAAATCACTCCAACACTCTCACAATCACTCTCTCTCATCAGAATGGCTCAAGGTTTGGGTGGAGGAAGCAAAATCATATTGGGAAAGGCTAGAAACAGCTAGGGAATAGGATAGCAAAAGTGAAATGACGAAAGAATGAGCTGGGGTCGAGTTTGATATATATAACGGCTAGGTGACGTTATCTAACAGTTACTCACATCTTTGAATTGGAATAATCCCCAGAAGTTCTGGTCCTGGGCACCAGGAACTTCCGGCCAACACTCCTCAGACTGAAAGCTCCGGCCCAGAGCGTCCAAAACTTCCGGGTAGGACTTTATGTCTTAGGAGAGGCTATTTTTGAGTTATTTTCAAAAATAGCTACTAAAATATTTCATTGATTGGATATGGCTAAGAGCACTTAAGGGATCTTAGAGAAACCCCTCTTAATAGTACGGTTTTTCCTAAAGTCAAAGTGAAAAATAAAACTAGCCTAACCGGTTGTTCTCGCCACTTTGAATTTGATGAATTGGGGGGGGGGGGGGGGGGTCCCACGCGTCCTAGCCACCTCATAAGCAACCTAGGACTAATCTCCTGTACTCAAGCTATTTAGTCATTAATCACCAAAACCCATCAGGGGTTAGACGAACTTTCAATGACCCACACGGGCCCGTGGATTGCTTTTCTCGTCTCGTCTCCATCCATGCATGAGCACGCGGGCGTCACCGCGACATGTCTCGGTCGCTCATGATTGCTTAGTGTGCGTGTTCTCAAACGACTCTGATCGGCGTCAAACGCAGCAGGTTGCACCGCGGCTGCTGCACTGCATGCATGTCTACAGCTCACTCACACCAAAAGTGTCGCGTCTACGTGGTGGCATCTAGGGGCGGATCTACAGTGTAAGGACCGGTGTTAGGCGACACTGACAACTTTCGGCAAAACTTAT